CCAAAGTCATCCTGTAAAGCACATACACAATGCTAAGTACTGGGGAATCTGAGACTACCGAGGCAAGTTCCCTACCCATCTGTTGAATGGGGAAAATCTATACATAAATATAATATTTCATTCCATGTGGTAAGCACAATTATGTGACCTTATAGGAATCTAATCCAACCACAGAGGAGAGGTTAAGGAGGGAGCCAAGTAAAGTGAAGGTGATGGATGTGGGACTGAAGAAAACATTTCAAGCAACAGGTTGAGCAAAGATGTGGAGGCTGGAAACAAGGTCTATACAGGAAATTGGTAACAGTTCACTGACCTGCAGGGAGAGGTGTTGGAGGTGAAGCTGGGAGTAGGTGAGGCCAGATCATGTGGACCTTGAATGTCATGCTGAAAATCTTAAATTTTATTCCTCAAACAATCACGAGCATCAAAAATTTCAAAGAGAGGTGTGATATGATCCGATTTAGTTTTGATAAAACAGACTAGTGGGGAGGCCATTTTTTGAGGGGTACAAGCCCAGAGGCTGGGTGATCAGTAAAGGAAATGTGGCAGTAAATCAGGTGAGTGGCCATAAGGGCTGAAACTAAGTCCTGGGCCATAAAGATGGAAAGGGGGGATAAATAGAAGACGGAACTGGTAGAACTTGGTTTACCAATGGTCATGGGAGGTGAAAGAGAGGGAGGAAACCGAAGATGGCTTCCTGCTTTCTGGGTGTCTGGATATGGATGGTGGTGTGACCAAACATTTCTGAAAAAACCAGATTGATGTGTCTAAGAGGCAGTTGGATTTTGAAGCTCAAGGAAGCTATCGGACCTGGAAAAATGATTTGGGAGTCTTCTGTGTAGGAGAGGTATTTAAAATTATGAGATTGGGCAAGTTGCTTCAGGAAAGAATATACATGAAGAAGATCACTTAACAAAGGACAGGATCCTGGGGAACACTCTCATCTCAGAGGTGAGCTGGGGAAAGCTATAAAAGAGAGAGTGAAATAATATCAGTGAGAAATATAAGCAGAAACTGGAGTGTTAGGTACATAGGAAATTTAATTGAGGGAGGGAAGAATCAGTGTTGTCAAAATGCAGCAGACATTTCATGATGTCATGAAACGTAGTCATTAGACTTGGCAGAATGGTCAGGTAATGAGGAGTTTCAGGAGGGTGGAGTTGGAAACCAGATTGCATAGTGGATTAAGGTATGAATGGGAGTTGAGAAGTGAAGTCAGTTACTATGTATAGTTTGCCTTTTCAGGAACATTCCCTAAATAAAGAAGGTAAAGATAGAGCTTAGGTGGCATGTCTCTCCAACTCAGATGATCTCAAACATCTTAAGAAAAAAGTATAGCAATGTATTATGTGCGTATTTATATTTAATAACTGTTAATTAAATAAGTAGATCGAATCAAATATCAGCACCAAACTTTCAGGTTTTTATTTAGCCTTTCTTCCTCTGTGTGTCATAATATTCCTTTTCCTTGACCAACTCCTTTTTCCTTTAAATTATTTCTGTTCAGCCTATTCAATGCCAGAAAATGTTTAGGTACTAGAACTCTTCATGTCTCATCTTCAAGCTATTTCCAGCTTTGGTCATTAAAAAAAAAAAAAGCTGTTATTTGCACAGTAATCAGAATTCCATCAAGAAACGCTGTGTACACTAGGTCTAAGTCATATCATTGTTATAATGACTAGTATTAGTATAACAAAGTTGTAGCCTTGTTCATCTCTGAAAGATTTAATGTTGTTTGGCAAAATTATAATAGATGGGAGGCTGGACTTGAGAAAATAAAAGATTGAACTATGTACCTATGTTGAGCTATGTCATAGTCATAGTTGAACTATGAACTATGAACTATGTTGTTATTGAATGACTAATCAGTTATTTCATGGACTCTAACACAAGCAAGGTGAGATGGTTGCCACAGCAGGCAGAGTTGAAGAAGTAAACTCACAAAAAGGTGTGACTTGAAAGATTAACAGGAAAATGTCAGTGCCAGTTATAGAATATGTACAAACAGTGTTTTATGCATTCTAAAATCTTTCATAAATCTGAGAGGAAAAATTATAATTATCAAGAAAATAAAGTAAAACCAAGCAACCTCACTTCTGGGTATATATCCAAAGAAAATGAAACCATAATCTTGGAGAGGTATCTGCATTCCCATGTTCCCTGCAATATAATTCACAATGCCAAAGTATGCAAACAGCCTGTGTATGGCAATGGATAAATGGATAAAGAAGCTGTGATATACACATATACAATGACTATTATTCAGCCATGAGAAAGAAGGGAATCCTGCCATTTGCTACAACAATGGGTGGAACTTGAGGGTAATAGGCTAAGTGAAATAAACCAGACAGAAAAAAACAAAAAATACTACATGGTATCCCTTATATGTGGAATAATCACTTTAAAAAGTAGAACTCATAGTCCTGGCTGGTGTGGCTCAGAGGATTGAGTGCTGGCCTGGGAACCAAAGGGTTGCCAGTTTGATTCCCAGTCAGGGTGCATGCCTGGGTTGCAGGCCAAGTCCCTGGAGAGAGGCAACCACACATTGATGTCTCTCTCCCTCTTTTTCCTTCCCTTCCCCTTTCCCTAAAAATAAATAATAAATAAAATATTTTTTTTAAAAAAGTAGAATTCATAGAAACAGAGTATAGGAAAATGGTTTCCAGAGGCTAGGGGATGGGGGAAATAGGGAGAGGCTGGTAAAAGGGTACAGACTTTCAATTATGAGTAAGGTATGAGGATCCAATGTATAACATGTGACTGTAGTTGGTAACATTGTATTGTATAACTGAAATTTTCTAAGAACTGAACTTAAATGTTCTCACCAAGGGAGAAAATGTTAAATATGTGAGATGACTGATGTGTTAATTAACTCTATAGGGGGAATCATTTCACAATATACACATATTAAATCACCACAATGTACACTTTAAATAACAATTTTACTTGTCAATTATATCTCAATAAAGCTTAAAAAGATAATAAAGTAAAAATGTCTTATATGGTGATTGTTTCTGATTTTAAATTTGCTAGGTAGTTGTTCTGGGAAAGAGTTTGAGTCTTATGGAATAGAGCTTTCACTCTGGGAACATAGATACTTTAAAACTCTTCCAAATTACAGGCTGTTGCATCAGGGTGAAATCCAGAGCTGATTCATGTTTGGGTTGCTTCCTTCTGCAATTTTAGGCTTTATTCATTTAGCTTCCTTTTTCATATTGTGTCTCATTTTGATGGCCTAATCTTCAGATATTGATACTGTGGCCACATGAAGAATATTCATTCGTTTTACAAGCATGTACAGAGAAGCTCCATGTGAAGATCTCTAGATGTCACCAAGCATGTCTGAGTCATTATCCCTTTTTAAGGAGTTTAAAGAGATTACCTTTCAGTGGTAGAAACATAAAGTAGAAAATTTCATGAAATATTATATATTAAGTTCCAAACTGGGTGAGCAGAAAACCAGGAAGACCACATAGAAGAGGGAGTTTGAGCTGGGTATAGCCTTAGAGGGATAAGTAGGATCTGTATATATGTATAATGAAAAAGATCTTTCCAGGTAAAGAAAGAGATTGTACTAATATGTACCTACATGTGTCATGTTGTAGTTATTAGAATCAGAGCTTCTTGCCCTGGCTGGGTGGCTCAGTGGATTAAGTGCAGGCCTGCCAACCGTCCGGTCGCCAGTTTAATTCCCAGTCAGGGCCCATGCCTGGGTTGCAGGCCATATCTCTGGTTGAGGGTGCGTTAGAGGCAACCACACATCCGTGTTTCCCTTTCTTTCTCCCTCCCTTTCTCTAAAAATAAATAAATAAAATCTTAAAAAACAAATTAGAGCTTCTCAAACCCTCCAGGCTCACAGATGGTTGGTGACTTTTTAAATACATGTCAGTCTTCTTGGCAGTAATCAACAGAGCATAGGCTATGGAGTTTAAGGAATATCTAAGTTTCTATGCCTGTTTGTTTCAGCTAGAGAATCGAAGTAATACCTGTTGTGGGTCTACCATATCCTAAGCTACTTTATTAAATGATGGCTTTAAAAAAAAAGGCTTACCAAAAACAGATAATCTGAAATTCTTGAACATTTAATGTGTAAGATGTTGGGAAGCTTTACAGTTTCACCTTAAAATTTTCTCCTTAAAAACAACAACAAAAAGCTGATAGACTAATCTTATGTCTGGGAAACAGAGGACCTGGTTCTACCCACTACCCAGCTCTCAGTCCTGCCTCACATCATCTTACCTCCCTGGGCCTGTTTCCTCTTACAAATGAGAGCGAGCATTGTCTCCACGTTTGCTGTCCCATACAGAATCACGTTTGACTATGAATGTGACTGTTTGTATAAAATACACACCAGATTTCACAGATAAAAAGAAAAAAATTAAAAATATTTTATGAATGATGTTTTGCGCATACTGGGTAAATCATTAAGATTAACTTTAGTTTTTTTTTTTTACTCTTTTGATGTGACGAGAAAAATCTAAATTACTTATACAGCTCTGGGTCTAGATGGACACTAATATCTCTTTCAGCTTTAAGACCCTGCCGGGGACACTGGAGGACACTTATTTCTTACGGTTCGATTTCCCTGCATTAAGATACCGAAGGATTGGCCCGGAGAGCGCGCGGTGGGGCGGGGCCCTGCGGGAAGACACAGATCCCACCGGGTCTCTCTCTCGCTCTTGGCGGGAAGGACGCCACAACTGCGAGGGGTCGACCGCTGGAGGACCAGGGGTGGGGGGTGGTAGCCAGCTGGGCCTTGTCTCCTGGATCGGGACTTTTGGCAGGCGGGGGCGCGCGCGTCGGTCCGGCGGGCGGATCCGGGAAGAGGGTTCATTCGTCAACCTCACGGGCGAGGAAGGAAACCGGCCTGAGGCCACCGCTGGCTGGCGCGGGTGCCTTGGCACGTCCGCAGGCTCCGCGGGGAGGTGGCGGCCGCTGAGAGGCGAGGGAGCGGAGGGCGGGCCTGGGAGGTGGCCCGGAGGTGGGGCGCTGGCGGGGGCCGGCCCGCTCTGGCTTCGTCTGCGGACGCACGGCCTGCTCGCTAGTCCTGGGTTCTCCGAGCGCGAGGCGACGAGCGACTAGAGCGGCTAGAGCGGCTATGGGCAGCCGCTGGGGCTTCCTGATCGGCCTCCTGGGCGCCGTGTGGCTCCTCCGCTCAAGCCAAGGCGGGCAGCAGCCCCCGGAGACAGCGGCCCAAAGGTGCTTCTGCCAGGTGAGGAGTGTGCGTGTTGCTCTTCCCCTGTTTCCCGGCCCCTTCCTGCGCTGTATCCCTCATGCCCGGGCAGGTGAGGTGCTGGGGTGCATCTTTGCATCTCCACCTCCCCGGAATGAGCTCCCTGTACTCCTGCTCCCCGGCCTGGGCTAGGTCCTCTGCAGTTCATCTGGGTAGGTGTGGACGGGTCTCCCAACGCAGCCTGGACCTCTGGTGTTCTCCCGCGTTTCGGATCAGGCTTGGACGAGAGGGATGGGTGCACGCTGTTATGTTTTTACCGAGTTGATTTAGGCATCTTTGTTGGTTTTCCCTACCCAGACAGGACACGCACAGTGTGCACGCACACTCAGTATTTTTTATTTTCTCAGAACCTGGGTCCCACTTTTAACTTGACCTGGAACTCTATACGCTGTGCCTGTGCTGGGTGCCTTCGCCGGCCTCTCTGGCCAGGACAGGCTTTTGTCAGGAGCGGGGTGGAGGCGGGGGGGGGGGGGGCGGCGGGGGGGGGGAGGCTGCTGTCAAATCTCATTGTATGTCAGGCAGGGGAGTAGCTTCGTGTGGATTTTTTGTGTCTAAGTCCAGTGCTTGGTGTCTTTGGGGTCTTTGCACTTCTGTGGCTCCTTGCCCAATGTGTTTTTTTTTTTTTTCATTTTCCTTAATGTCATGAGAGTCTCTTACTGTGACACTAATATAACTGGTTTAAATTGGGCGGATAACAAATTGGATATCAAGCATATTATTATCATTTCCTTGTGTTAGTAAGAGGGGAGCAAAAAATTCAAAGAAACTTCGAAGTTTCTAGATCTACAATTACCCATATTTTATTATTTTTAAAAGATTTTATTTCTTTTTAGACAGAGGGGCAGGGAGGATGAGAGAAAGAGAAACATCAATGTATGGTTACCTCTTGCTCACTTCCTACTGGGGACCTGGCCTGCAACCCAGGCATGTACCCTGACTGGGAATTCAATCAGTGACCTTGTGGTTTGCAGGCCGGCACTCAGTCCCTGAGTCACATGAGCTAGGGCCAATTTCTCATATTTTAATGTCATTACTCTTTAAAAATTTTAAAAATATGTTTATTGATTTTAAAGAGAGAGGAAAGAGAAGAGAAAGAAAGACATCAATGAGAGAGATGAAACGTGGATGGGTTGCCTCCCATATGTGCCCCAACCAGGGACCAAACCTGTAGCCTAGGTATGTGCCTTAACTGTGACTCAAACACCCAACTTTTTGGTCTATGCCAGAATGACTGGCCCAACCAACTGAGCCTTGCAGGCCAGGGCTTCACATCATTACTTTGAAAGTCACCATTAGGTTGGCTTTCATTGATAAAAATTATATTTTATACAAAATTGAGGGTCAGCATCCAAATTGTTCTTTTAAAGTGGATTTTACTATTCATTTGTTGTCAGAAATGACATTTTATGTGTGTAGAGGCAATGATCCTATTTCATAGAGGTTAGAAACACGGATTACGAGAGGAGGAGATATCTTTTCACTGCTTTATATTCTTAGATTTTATTTCTTGTTTTGCTGAGTGATTTGGATGTTGAGGTGTTATCTGGAATGGTGTGAGAGAAGTTGTAAAGAAGTTACTGCTTTAGAAACAGCACACAGTACTTAGAAAGAAAAAGGGCTATTATTCTTCTGATTGTAGAAATAATGTAATGAAAGTTTAAACATTTAAAAAATATGTAGAAATAAGTGACTTTAAAATAAGTCATTTGGTATTGAAAGAAGATGCCCAATATAACATTTTCAACTGTGTTCTAGAAATTGGATAATGGAATAAAAGTACATATTGAGCTTTTCATCTTTCACTTTCCCCCTCAGTAGCCTTTTCAGGTACCTGACTAAAGTTGTGGAGCGTTTTTTTAAAAATTAAAAAAAAAAAAAGATTTTATTTATTTATTTTTAGACAGAGGGGAAGGGCAGGAGAAAGAGAGGAAGAGAAACATCAATATGTTGTTGCCTCTCACGCACCCCTTAATGAGGACCTAGCCTGCAACCCAGGCATGTGCCCTGACTGGGAATCGAACTAGTGACCCTTTGGTTCACAGGCCGGTGCTCAATCCATTGAGCCACAGTAGCCAGGGCAAAGTTGGGGAGCTTTTACATTTTAAAAAATTTATTTTCTTTTTTATTTCTGATTTGTGTTTATGCTTTTTCTCCCCTTTCATAATATTTTCAAGATTTAAATACTCCCTCAAAACAAAATTCTGTTAGACCCATTTCTTTTCCTTTCAGAACAAGAGAAAATGTTTTTCTTCCCAGAGTCAACTTTAAAAAATAATGAATTGAGAGTCACATACTAAAACAATTTTTAGAGAGACTTAAAATGGTCTACTTAAATGAACTGAAGAATAGAGACCATCAATTCCAATCCAATTAATGAAATAAAAGTATACTTTAGTCCTGTTATGGTCAGTAATAAACGGATGTGGGTAAGGAGAGAACAAGGGAGAAAGGAAAGTAATAAAGAGACGTGAAGAGAAAAATGGAGACCAGCATATAGACACACACACAAAAACAGAACAAAAGTGAAAGAAAGAAAAATGGAGAAAGGAAAGACAAGGTGAGATGAATGGTGAAAATATTCATGCAACAAACATTGATAAACACTGTATGCATTGACCTGAGTGTTTGAAATACAGAAATAACTATGGCATCATCCCTGCCCTGAGAAGCTTAGAGTTTAGGGAATAATGTTCTTTGGGGCTTGGGGAGAGGCAACTGATCGATGTTTCTCACATCAATGTTTCTCTCCTTTTCTTTCTCCCTTCCTTCCCCTCTCCCTAAAAATAAATAAATAAATAAATAAATAAATAAATAAATAAATAAACCTTTAAACTTAGTTACTACATATACCTGTTAGTTGATGTCAAATCTTACTAAAACCATTTTCACTGTAGGTTGTAAGTTCTTTTGATAACAGTGCTAAATTTACTGTTAGTTGCTGGAAATGTATGATCCATTTTGGGGGACATATAAATCTTCCTTATACACAAACTCTCCCTTTTTTCTAAATCATTCTATTTAAAAAAAGTTTTTACACGGAAAATTGGCCTTTTTTTCACCTTTTGCTTATATTTTTCACTTATACATATAAATCTATGTATAGTTTGTGTAAACAACCCCACGATCAGGACCTGCTCTTTCTTTAAACAAAAATATTTGTAGTATTTGTTGTACTAAATGTGAGCTTGAAGTAAATGAAGACTTTTCAGAGTTTCTTCTTTCTTTTTGACAAGTATTGCCCCATTATGTGCAATTAGTGAGAATGAATGAAACAGAACTTTAGTCCCAATTCATGGAATCCCAGGATGCATTTTAAAGAAATAACATCAGGAGAAATATTGAAGCTCAGATATGGAGGCAGTACGGACACCTTTTTCATTTAAATTACTTAGAAATGAGTTTGATAAAACATTTTGACTACATAGGAGTTTGCAGTCTTAATATGGCTAGTGCTAATAACTCTCAGATCCATTTATTTGAATGCAGTAAATCTGTATCAGGCTAATGAATGGGAAGTAACTCAGGTAATCCAAAATGGCTACTTCGAAAATGGATTATTTTTTGTTCGGAGTGCATTGTAAATACACTATGCATACCTGAATTTGAGCAGATTTACCTGTCTAGTGTCTTGTCTGTGTTAATTTTAAAAATATTTTTTAATTTGTTAGTCTGTGGCTGGGCCATGGAAGAGACGCTTGGTAATATGTTGGGTGGTGGGTGGATATAAGCCCAGGATTAAACTTTAGTCAGAGGGATCTTTGAAATGGGTTATACTGGAGAGCTGTCCACTGACTCTCAGTATTTGCTCTATTCCAGGCTTTTCTGAACAAAGTGTGTGGAACAAAGCATGTTTCACATTGGTTGATATACTTTGCGTCATTTAACAACAATTTAAATCTCTAGCAAGACTGGAACTTTAATGAAGAAATAGCTCTTAGCATTCATTCCATGTTCTTAGAATGGTACCAACTACCAAGTGTAGAATCTTTGTGGTTTTCATGATTCCATTAACAAGAGTTGTTCCAATCTATTCTGTCAAAGAATGAATACTTACATTCTTTTTTATGGTCACAAAACAATAAAATTAAATACAACTAAAGTTCTTTGCCAAATAAAGTGCACTTTGAGCACTTTCAAAAGACATTTCCTTTTTATATGAGTTCGAGGAATATATTCTTACAGTGCTTGGGGAAAAAATGATAATCTGTGGTAGGACTAGAAGTTGTTGGTACACAAGGAAACTGTTTAGAAAGTATGTTTTGTTTTATCTTTCACTGCCTACTAATGGGCACCTCTGTCGAGAGCAGTGAACAAACAGGCCAGTGTTATTTTCTTTTCTCTGGCCTTCTATACAGTAGTTTGGTATTTGCTCCAAACCAGTCAGAATCAATGGAGAAAGCAACTGAGGCTCCTTCTACAGCTGACAATTGTTTATCGAGTTCTATGTTTCATTGAGGCTACAGATGTAAGATTTTGGGAAAAATTTAACTATAAACTTGGCTCTCCCCCCCGCCCCCCACCCCCCTTCAACACATGTTGTAGGTTGCTTTAGGAAATAGTAAAATCCATTTCACTGGAAGCATTTAAACAATGGCAAAGGTAACAATAATGATTAACATTTACTGGGCATTTTACTTGTCATTTTAATTTGATACCAACAGCTTTGATGTGGGAACTATTATTATTTCTATTTTGTATTTAGATAGGAAACTGAGGCCTAGAGAGTAGGCCAGGCCAACAATGAAGAAGCAGTAGAGATGGGATTCAGCCCTGATGCCAGAGCCCACGTGCTAACCATTGTTATACACTGCTTCTCCTAGAAGGTGTGTAGGAGGGAAGCTGTGTTGCTTGCAAGGTTGCAATGGAGGCCTTCAAAGGCTTTCCAATTCTTTAGGTACTAGGACTTTAAACTGAGAGATGTTATGTCAGGCCTATTGTGGTCCTCATATCTACCATTCCTCATCAAGGGCCTTTTAATTGCCACCTTATTAATTTGGGCCCCTACCCATGGCTGAGTATCACCTGAAGCCTCAGCAGTAAGCTTCAAATTTTAACATGCATCAATCACTTCGTGTGTGTGTGTGGGGGGCGGGGGGGAGGGCGGGGGCGGGGAGCATGCACATTGGTAAAATATCCGGATCTCTGTGGTATGGCCAGATTTCTGTTTCACTTTGGGAGACAGGCTAGTAGTTATTTATTCAGCTTTAGTGACATTCTGAAGTACAGCATCAAGTCATCCTTGTTATCTGTTGGCACCCACATTTTGGTTTTAGTTTAGGTTACAGGACTTTGCTTCATTTCCAAGATTCTTCCCTGGGTATTAACTGGATTTCCACCTTAGTCTTTTCCTGAGACCCTATTCTGGTAACATGCCTGGTTATCTAGTTGTTAGAATTAGGCCTGGTATTACATCTGCTAGACTTCCTGCCAGGTTTCTGGTTCTGCTTCCTATTGTCAGGCCTTTACAGAGGGTCAGATGACTTGGATTTCCAAATACCTTCCTGTCTCTTCTTTGTTGGGCTCTCTCCATCTTTTGAAATTCTTGCCGCCCCCATGCTACCTTCTTACCTGTCCTGCTACCTGTTTTTGTAGTTGGGGATACCTCTTACTCAGTTTCTAAGTTAAGGACAGAATATTTTAAAATCTACTATTGACCTGCCTTGTTTCCTTGTGAGGTCTCTAGGCTATAGGCCACCTCTGCTCTGGATGCATCTTGCATTCTTTTCTGGTTTGGGGCTTCTTTTAGCTTCCTTTGAAATTAGGATGTGTATCTGTAGAATGTTGGAGGCCAAGTGTTGTTATCTTTGCTGCCTGCTTTCCTTGCTTTTGTGAGCGCATTCCTGCCACTTGAGCTGGCGTGGTCTAGGGCACCATAGGTGGCATGGTAGTACGTAAGTATGAGTAGTGCAGTGCTGGTCTCCAGTGAGAGTGACAGTGGACAGCATTCATTCTTTCATTTACTCACCCTTCCCACAAATAGCTATTGATCATCTACTGGGTGCTTTCTAGAAGTGCAGTAGTACTAAGTTTATACAAAGAACAAACATGATTTCTCCCTCAAGAATTTTAAATTCTGGTGAGCGGAAGTGACATATATAAATTTAATACAGTGAGGTGATTGTCATGTAGGAGTATGTGGACTCTCACAGGAGCACGTAGGAACGGCAGTTAACCCAGCAGGGGGTGAGTGGTACCCGAGGGGCAGCTTCCCAAAAGAGGCCATGCCTGAGCTTGAGTATTAAAGATAGATGTTTACCTTAAAAATGAATTCCTCAGGAGGAAAAATGGATTGCTTCAAACCCTTTCTCTCAAGCTTTTTTTGGGTGTGTGTGGTTATGTGTGTGTGTGTGTGTGTGTGTGTGTGTGTGTCTTAAAGTCTCTATCTGGCAATGTGTCTCTTTGGCCTTTGTAGACTTTGTGCCACTTATTCTTGCATAATACAGGATCTGGCAAAAGTTAACACCTGCTTGAGTGTGGTTAGTAGGGTAGGTGAATATCTTGCACGACATGGACAGCAATTTGAACATTTCACCTAAAATGTCATATGGTGTGCTTGAGTGTGATACTCTTGTTACAAAATTACACGCTTAAGATTTTGTAATAAAAGATTTTGTAATAAAAAAAGTGGTATTATTTGTGCAGGACTTTATATTTTGTATCCAACGGGAAAAACAGTACCTATTGTATGTCTTTAGAGGTTCTGCTTTTAAGACTCAAAAGAAAACGGTGTGAATAATCAAGTCATCTAGGTTAGTAGCACTTTTGTTCTGTTTGTACCCAGAATTAGGACTCTGAGGTTATTGTATACTCAGAGAACTTTTAACAGGAAACAAAGACATATTTGCGTATGAAATGAAAATAGTTATTACAGTGACAAATATGTAGATCAGATTTCTAGGAACTGAATTAGTTACTCTAAAACAAGTAAGTCTAGGCAAATTGGTTAAAAAAACAAAAAACAAAACTTATCTCTTGAGTATTGCTGTCATTTTCCAAAGTACTCTTATCTGTTAGGTGAAAAATTTTCATTATTGGTTTGTTATATTCTATAATTAAAAGGTAGTATAGGATTTTATATATTCCAAAAGATAACAGTCTAAATTTAGTATTTCATTACATTTCATTACATTACTAGATTTAGTAATGGTAAGGTGTCCTTACCATTAAATTAAAAAAAATTTTTTTGTTGGAAGTGTTTCCCTAAAATATAAACAAAAGTGGTTTATAATGCAAATATTCAGGCCAAAGTATAATAAGGATCTCTTTTCTGCAGCATGCTTTATATTAAAAAAACTTCTAGATACTTTTTAAAAATCATGGTGTATTTGTTACTTCCTTAAAGCAATGTTTAATTTATTGTTAGGTGTTTGCCTAGCCCCAAATAAACATCTAAGAATGTTATTATTAAATAACTTTTATTTATTGATTTGAAAGACAGACAGACATTGATTTGTTGTTCTACTTATTTATGCATTCACTGGTTGATTCTTTTAAATGCCCTGACTGGGAATTGAACCTGCAACCTGGGTATATCTGGACAATGCCCTAACCAACTGAGCTACCTGGCCAGGGCAACATCTAAGAATTTTAGTTTCACATCTAATAATGCTGTCTAACTATAATATGACTTCCCACTATATCCTAGTATAGGTACATTTAATAATTTGATTTAGTAAATACAGATAAGACATCATTTTTCAGCATTTGAAGATCAGGATTGCTTTGTGGGCAATTTGCTATTTCAGTGTTGTTAATCATAATTTCTAGGCACCATCTCAAACCTACAAAAATTATTATGGCCTAGTGTTTAAGCATTGTTAGATCTTTATAATAAATTATGGTTTGTCTCAAAATTCATTGTCATTTCATCCATCTTGTCTTGGGCCTATACATCCTGTGGGAAACTAAAATAAAGGAAATAGAGACAACTGAATTATAAGGCTATAGAGTCTCAGGAAAGCTGAGAATGGGAATGCAAGCGGGCTTTGGGAAAGATGGGTAGAAATTGGGAAAAACCTAGGGAATCCAGGTAGCATATGTTTTCTATCTCCTATCTCTGCTTCTTTGCGTATCTTTTAAAATCTTCCCTCTCTCTGCTAACTGGTCATATGCTCCCCAGTTCACATGATAGAATATAGCCTGAGTTTACTTTTACTGATCTAGCCACAAGGAGAGACAGTTCTCCCTGTTAGTCTCAATTCCAGATTCCTGGAAAAGGGAGCGTGACCTGGTTTAGGTCAGATGCTCACCCCTGGTCAGTCCTGGTGGGTAGGGTTACACAGTGACTGCAGGGGACCAAATCTTTGGGTGTGTTTGTGTCGTTATGAGCTCAGTACATCGTGCAAAAAGTATCCACTGCATTTCTCTAGGTCTATAGTAAGAGCATTACTAGATTATTGTTGTATCCTATCTCAGAAAATTATGGAGGAGGGTGGATAAAGGTTGGTTGAATAGAGGGCTTTCATTGTAACCATGTGAGGAAAAGGAACTCTTCTTACATCTAAGAATTTTGATTTAATATTTCATTTTCTTTGTAACAGGTTAGTGGTTACTTGGATGATTGTACCTGTGATGTTGAAACCATTGATAGATTTAATAACTACAGGCTTTTCCCAAGACTACAAAAACTTCTTGAAAGCGACTACTTTAGATATTACAAGGTATTTTTATTTTTAATTTTTTGTGAAAGAATACTTAAAGTTTAAATGGATAATTACATTTTTTAAGGCATTGCTAAGCTTCCAAATTGTGGCTATTGCTTGAAATTGATCAAGGCTATATTAGGAAAATTCAGTTCATGAGGGTGAACCACGTGATTCTGGGACTACCCCTTGTATACTTGTAAGTTCAATAGCTGAGTTTTGCACTCAAGAGTTAGAAACCAGTTAAACTGAAGTCAGAACAGCAACTGTTATATATATTGTTATAAAAATTGTGAGTTGATCATAATTTTCTAAAATGGCAGATTTATTCCAATTAATATAATTAAGTATTTTTGAGAAGCATAACTTTATTTTTGACCTATATTATTTTTAACAAGTCACTTGTCATATTTTATCTTGAGATCTCTACTGAAAGAGTTTAGAAAACCTGATTATTAGATTAGGTAGTTCCAGTATGAGTTGACAATTGTCTAACTATTCTCCCATGTTAACTGCTTCTTGCTTTAGAAGAATATGATTTAAGCAGTGGTGATCTGAGCTACTTTGGCTCCTAGTTGCCATCTGTTCAGTGTTTAGTAGCATCTGTGTCTTTCTAACTAAGTCTACCAATTTACATATACCAGCTGCACATTTATTTCATCATTGGAACTTGACAATTGGTAAGTGAAAGAAATAGAATAATTGCAGCCAATAACACGATCGGGTTATAGCATCACAATTCAACATCTGTTGATTATAAACTTTTTCTATTTTTAGATACTATTTTAAAACTTCTATTATTATTTTACAGGTGAACCTGAAGAGGCCATGCCCTTTCTGGAATGATATCAACCAGTGTGGAAGAAGAGACTGTGCCGTCAAGCCTTGTCAATCTGTAAGAATCATGTATATTTTTAAGAACTGTTACATTTTTTTCAAATAATTACAACTTTTTGTAAGGGGCCAATATAACTAAAATGATAGTTTGATCCTTAGGCTAAATATGATGTGTAATATTTACCTATTAAAAACCTAAACTTACAAATATAAAACATAGTTTGAATTGTATTGCCTTCATAATAATAGAATTAAAATATTGTGGTTAATGTAATCCTTTTACTTATTAGTGAGATTAATACAAATGGTCCCTGACTTAATCGATGGTTGAATTTATGGCTTTTTGACTTTATGATAGTATGAAAGCTCTATGCATTTAGTAGAAACTGCGATTTGAATTTCAAATTTTGATCTTTTTCTGGGCTAGTGATATGTGGCATGATTCTCATCATGCTGGGCAGTGGCAGCGAGATGATTTTGCCCAACTGTAGGCCTATTTAAGTGTTCTGAGCACACTTAATGTGGGCAGGCTAAGCTATGATGTTTCGTAGGTTAGGTGTATTAAATTCATTTTGACCTCCTATATTTTCAACTTGCAATGGGTTTATTGGGATTATAACCCTATCATAAGTCAAGGAGCATCTGCAGTTCTTTTGGCTTGATATTTGTTTTTCTTCTTATATCTTACCTGAACAAAGTTGTTTATAGTATAGTAAGTGAAATTAATCAAGGTATAAACAAAATCCCTCTCCTTTTCTTTGTGGGTTTATTATTTTCCTTGCATTTCCTTGGGTGGGGAGGGGTTGGACAAAATACCTGGTTTTATGTAGGATTTCTAGAGAATTACAATTTGAAGTATTCTAATCTGAAAGCAGAGAATTTTACACTTTCAATGAAGGCTTTTTTCTTAAAAAGTATATATTTTTATTTTACTTTTTATTGTGGTAAAATATACATAATATAAATGTACCATTTTAATCATTTTTCAGCGTATAGTTCATTGGCATTAGGTGCCATGATTAGACCCAAGATTTTGGGAAGATAGTTGGCAATATTGTGGAGAGTGGTGAGGAAGATGAGAAGATGGGGAAGCTAGTAAAGGAATATCAATTAGCAATCAAATGTAATTTGGTTCTGTAGTGAATATTTTTTGACGGTGTACTCTGTGCCACGACCTGGCCATATAAGGTGAGCTTTTATCTTGAGGAGCTATGGTTTAGTAGGGGAGACAAACACTAAGTGACAATTTCAGTGCAAATGTGATAGCCTGATAATAGATGTACTAAATGTGTGCATACTGTGGGAGCATAGGAGGGAGACATAGAAACTCCACTCTGAGTGACAGTGAGGGAATGAGCCATTTACACTCTTCTTAGGACAAGTGTGGGCTCAGTTCCAATAGTTCCCAAATAGGGCAGTCTGTCAGAACTGAAGAGTAATTAGAGAGCATTTCAAATACTTTGAAATACTTGCTTCAGCCTAAATAATCAGCTGCCATAGCTAGTATTTATATTGTACATGACTGATATTTTGACTTATGTTACACTTCAGTCTGTATCTTAAAAAAAGGACATTACATTATGAATACAATGCAGCTATCACACCTAAAACACTCAATAATCCTTTCTTAATCTCATATAGAGGGTTAAATAGTTAAGTCACTACTTCACATGGTCTGCTGCTGTTTAGTTAGTACTTTTTAAGGCTAAACAGGGAACCAACACCAGTTGCCTTTTTGTCAGCACTGATTTCCTGTTAACTCATTACTTCACATGGTCCACTGTTGTTTTGTTGGTATCTTTTTGGGCTAAATCAGGAACCAATACCAGTTGCTTTTTTGTCAACACTGATATCCTTTTTCGGTTTATTTTTATGCATGGTTCAGGTGGTACTCTGGGACCCATAAGGAGATAGAAAAATAATAAAAATTTTGATTCTCTTCTTAAAACTTGGTCTTTAAAATCCATATCCTTTTATTTGCACCCCTGATTCCAGAGAATACCTCAGTGTGGCTGGTGATCTTCCCACAGAGGCTAGACTCTATAAGCTGAAGCACCAGTTATTCTCTTTACAATGAATCAAAACAACGTTCTTTTACCTACATTACTAATTGGCCAATGTGAAAAAGATTAACAATAGCCAATGTTAGTCTGTCATTAAGACATGAGCACTCTGGCCCTCAGCTGGTCAGTAATATACTTAGCATTGGGCCCTGCAATTGACAGAGTTTTCCCACGTCCACCATTGTCTGTATTCACAACATCCCTTTGACAATAGGCAGATAGGTCCTATAGTTAGCAAGAGGCCAATGCTCAGTTGAAATCTGGTACCATTTTCCTCTGAAAAGAACTAAGGCTTCTTAAAAAACAATTGATTCCAAGACTCGAATAAGAGATATACAAGATGAGCTTGGAGTATCTGGTCGTAATAGGAAACAAAAAGATGCTGTTAGATTGTTGGGCCAAGGGACACAGGTGCAAAATCAAGTTAGCATTAGTGGGTCGCCTAGTGGCCAAATGTGGACAATTTGAGCATCAAAAGGAGTAATAACTAAGTGACTATTATTTACATTTCTGTGCCTTAGTATATATCAGCAATCCATGCAATAATTTGTTTTTGAATTTTTTGTTTACTTGTAGGAAATAATATAAAAACTGCCTAACTATTCTCAGTTTAAAAATGTTAACTTCAATAATTTGTTTCATGAATTTTTCTCAGAATGCATAGAAATTTAAAATACTTTTTCAGTAGAATAAATGCCATGTAAAAGCATTTGTTTTTCTTTTTCAGGATGAAGTTCCCGATGGAATCAAATCTGCAAGCTACAAGGTGCGTGCGTGTGTGTCGTGTGTGTGTGTGTGTGTGTGTGTGTGTATGTATAATTAACTGTGTCTAGTATATTAACAATCTCGAAATACTCATTTCCTCTGCCAGTTACTACCCCATTTCTCTGTTCCCCTTTATAGTGAAACCTCTTTTACCAATGGCTCCAGTTTTTTTCTTCAATCCTTTTATGCAAAACATCAAAGAAAAATTAAAGTAGAGGGGAAAGAACCCCACAACATGTACCTATTACACAGCTTTAGCAGTTAGCAGTGTATGGTCAATCTTGTTTCATCTCTATGTACCACTACATTCTCCCAAGTACTTTACAGCCAATTTCAGATAAATCATGTTTTTACACATACTTTTGTATGCATCTCTAAGACAAAAAGATACTTTAAAAAATATAACCTCAGTCAGGCTTCTGATATCTCTAGTTGTTTCATAAGGGTCTTAATAATCTGTTTGAAACAGGATTCAAATGTATTCCATACATTGCATTTGGTTGATGTGTCTCTTCTCTTTCTCTCTTTTTAAATAAATTTTTAATTTTATAATACTTTTAGATTTACAGAAAAATTGTGAAGATAGTACAGTTTCTGTATACTTCACACCTAGCTTCCTCTATGATTAACATCTTACATTAGTATGGTACACTTATTACAATTAGTGAAATGACATTGATGCATTATCATTAACTAAAGCCCATACTTCAGATTTCCATGCTTTTCTACCTAATGTCCATTTGTGTTTCAGGATCTCAGCTAGGATACCAGGTTACATTTAGGAGTCATGTCCCTTTAGGTTCCTGTTGGCTGTGACAGTTTCTGAGAATTTCCATGTTTTTGATAAGCTCTTTTTGAGGAGTGCTAGTCAGACATTGTAGAATGTTCCTCAACTGAGGTTTGTCTCATGTTTTTCTCAGGCTCAGAGTAGGGTTTTTGGGAAGATGACCGCAGTGGTAAAGTGCCATTTTTGTCACATCATGTCCTATCACATCACATCATACACTATCAACATGATTTATCACTATTAGTGTTAACCTTGATCACCTGGGTGAGGTAGTTCTGTCAGGTTTCTCAACCATAGATTTATTCTTTTTCACCCTTTCCAGACTGTATTCTTTGGAAGGAAGTCACTATGCACAGCCTACACTTAAGCAATGCTTCATCTCCTTGAGGATATTAATTGCTTGGAATCCTTCAGTATGGGATTTTCCCTCTGTTTACTTATTTACTACAGATTGTAATTTTGCTCATTTTTGATCCTATATTTTCTTGTTTACATACAAAGAGTGAAGTCATAGGCATTGTGTTGGCTCCAGTGGCAGAACTTAGTACAAAATTAAATGATGCTATCATTAACTTTTAAATAGAAAGTTTTTAAATCTAGAAGTTGTTTGATTTTTTTAAATTTAATTGATGCACTCAAAGTAAACTTTTGGAAGTTTATTTTGCTGAAGGAAAACATTTTTCACTCCTGTGAATGCTAAATTCATTCAAAATTCAAAATTGAAGACAAAATATTTGTTTTGTGGTAATAATACATATTTGAATTTTGATAAAAACAATGTGGGAAAAACAGTGTGATTTAATAAGTGTGCTTATTAAATCAAGAAACCTGTGGAGCAGAAATGAATTTGCAAGTGGTTAAAATACACATATAATTCATAATTGTGTACAAACACACTGTGATAGTTATCCAGTTAAAAGTGGTAATTGTCAAAATATATAGGTTTTTGCATATATATATACATGCTAGTAATGATCATACAATTTTTGAGATGCAGCTAATGCTGGGGAAGAGAAAAAAGAAACAGTACTTGGCATGGCAGGAGTACTTTGTTTGCCATCCACCTGATATCAATTATTTATCACTGTTTGAGCCCATGAAGAACTATTTTGTAAAACACCCAAGTGTTCTGCAGTGGTACTGAAAAATTTTTAATAAATGAGCCTCTAAATGTTGATTGCAGTTCATTATTCAAAGTATCACTGAATAGAATGCTTAAAGGAAAAAAACAAAAGAAGTTTCAGCTTTTGAAAGTTTAGAAAATTGCAATTATAACAACACTTGTAAACAAAGACCTTGAAATTTATTTCTACAAAAATGAGGGAGAAGTTGAACATGCTGGGGAAATTTCAAATAATGTACTAGGTTTAATTCTGAAATTTTATAATCATGTTTATTTGAGGGAAGAGTCTTCTCCTGACGAATCTCTTACTTTTAATTGGATAAATTTATATTCTGACCTGAAATGAAATGAATTTAAGAAGGCTTACAATTATAGATTTTATAGTATCTATACTTGGCAAAACATTTAAAATAATACAAAAAAATAAAGACAACTTTTGATGAGTTTTGTCTTAAAATGTTTATTGAAGAAATGTAGTTTGGAGGCAAAGGAATAGAACTTGTGAAAATAATTGGGCTAAAATATTTTCACATATTTACCTGTAAAGAGAATATTTTCTCAGTTAAAAATTATATCTTCAGAGAAGACTCAGTTGAAGGTATTAGTTTCAAAATGAATAACCAAAAAAATTAACTTTCAAGAAGATCATGGGAGATTTCATGGAAAAAATATTTTTCTTAAGATTTTATTTATTTTTAGAGAGGGGAAGGAGGGAGAAAGAAAAGGGGAGAGACACCATGTGTGGTCGCCTCTTGCACGCCCCTGCCTGGGAACCTGGCTCACATCCCAGACATGTGCCTTGACTGGGAATTGAACCCATGACCCTTTGCAGGCCATCATTCAAACCACTGAGCCACACTAGCCAGGGCAATTTCATGAAAATTTAATAATAGGAACAAGTTGAAGAAATATTTTTCTTCAGAAAAATGCTAGATGCAGTACGAGACAGATGTGACTTAATGAGGCTGATTAAATTATTAAGTAGGAGCTAAGGGTAGTTATTTTAACTTATGTTTTTATGTTAGATAATAACATTAATAAAATTAAAGTTTTTGTTTTAATATACATTGTTATATTATTATATATAGGTATATGTTATTTTTTGAACAAATTTTGTTCATTTTTTGTTATGTATTTTTAACTTATTTTGAAATAACTTCCAACTTACAGAAAAGTTACAAGATTAGTATAAATGTATTTTATATACTCTCCATATGGATTCACTAATTTTTAATTTGCCTCGTTTATTTTAACATGCTTTTTCTACATATATATTCTTAATATTTTCTGAACATTTGAGAGTTGGTTGAATATGTCACATGCCTTTACCCTTTTATACTTAATTACGTATAAAAATTTATTTTGAGAACAGTTTTTGAATTAAACTATCTTTTAGATCAACCAATCTAAGAAAACAGAGTTGTTATTTAATAAATATTTCAAAAAATTATATCACTTCAGTATTTAGTGTTTTCTTTTATCTGCAAAAGTGTCATAGTCTAGACAGTCATTTGTATAGCCATCCTCCAATAAGGCTATATGGGCACTTCGAATATATTTGTTGAGTGGCTGAATGGCTGGCCTCCTGCTTTTTATGTTGTCTTTCAGCTAAATGGTGGGGATGACTGTTGTGCTGTGAAATCTTAGGATACATACTCGCTTCCCCTGTGCCACATATGCACTGAGCAGATTATGTATATAAAGTGACTTAGACATTGAGAAGAAATGTGGTTGTTAAAGAACATATTTTAAACACTTAAAAGATATTCCACTACGTTTTATAAGACTTGATAGGCTTCAGGGCATTTTTAGAAAGAATCATGACATTTAGAGGTGGACCTTAGACACACATGATCTAGTTCAACCACTTTTTCCTGGATGAAAAAACTGATGCTTACAGTTAATTAGGGCATGAGAAAATGGAACATTGCCTCATGCTCCTTGCCTAGTGACTTCCTTATACTTCAAAGATTTTCTTAGTGAAGATTTGGGTGGTGAGTTAGAACTATAATCTGTCGTGTGTGTGTGTGTGTGTGTGTGTGTGTGTGTACACACACGTACACAATCGTAAATGTGTTCTCCAACAAAAATAAGGGGCAAAGCCTTCTACTTACTTTTTTTAGCTTCAGTTGGAATGTGAGAAGGGCTTAATTTTTTGAAAGTTTTGTAGCCGAGGTGATGGTGCCAGGTATAAAAGAACTTCAAATAACTTTGAAATTCTTTTTAAAAGTTTTAAAAGTGAGGTAAGGTGTATTCTATTTACTCCTCTTTTCATTTCAGTATTCTGAAGAAGCCAATAATCTCATTGAAGAATGTGAGCAAGCTGAACGACTCGGAGCTGTGGATGAATCCCTGAGGTTTGATTTTTTTTTTTTTGCAGTAGTATTTTATGTTTTTTTCATGTGAAATGTTAACTTGAAACAAAGAATAACACTATTATCTTTATTTGAAGTGAGGAAACGCAGAAGGCTGTTCTTCAGTGGACCAAGCATGATGATTCCTCAGACAACTTCTGTGAAGCTGATGGTATAACTTTTTGTAGTGTGCATTTTGTTTAAAATTGTACCTAAGAAAAAAAATAATTCTTTAAAAATGATTTTTAAAAACTCAGTTTCTAATGGTTTGGCATTTCCTCAAAAAGCGAAACATACAGTTACCACATGCTCCAACAGTTCACCTCCTAAAAAGATTGAATACAGGGAAACAGATATTTTTACACAAATGTTTATAACAGCATTATTCACAATAGCCAAAAGGTGGAAAAATCTAAGTTTCCATAAATGGATGAATGTGTAAACAAAGTGTAGTATATATACATACAATGGAATACTATTTAACCATAAAAAGAAATAAAGTTCTGATATATACTACAATATGGATTAACCTTCAAAACAAAATGCTAAATGAAATAAGCCAGACAGAAAAGGACAAGTGTCATGATTCCATTTGTATGACATATCTAGAACAGGTAAATTGATAGAGACAAAAAGTAGACTAGAGTTTACCAAGGTTGGAGAGAAGAGAGGATAGGGAGTTACTGCTTAATAGTTATGGAGTTTCTGTTTGGGGTCATAGGAAAGTTTGGAAACAGTGGTGATGATTGCACAACATTGTGAATGTAATGCCACTGAGCTGTAACTTAAATATGTTTTAAGTGGTAAATCTTATAGTACGTATATTTTACCACAATAAAAACATTTAAAAAGAAAACTCAGTTTTTAAAAAAGAATTTACCTCTTGAGTTCTGTAGTTCTAATAATATAAATATAATTTTTATAATATATACAGGCATTTTTGCATAAATAGCTAAACAGAGATTGCAAACACCTGCTTCTATTTTACTGGCAGATAAACAGTAAAGTTAGATTGTTAAAGTATTTTCCTTCTTGATGCTCTATATTATTTTGGAAAAGCAAATAGTGACCCATGAGTTGTATCTACTACATCTAAAGCTAAGCCAGAGGGCTCATGCTGTTAAAATATAGGAGCTATAGAAACCATTAGAACTCTTTGATCAAAACTTATATATTCTCCTACTCTTCTTTTTTCTTTTATAAATTTTATTGACTTATTTTTAGTAGTGAGGGGAAGGGAAGGAGAAAGACAGGGAAGAGAAACATCCATGTGTGAGAGATACATCCATTAGTTTCCTCTCGCACGCCCCTAACTGGGGACCAGGCCCGCAACCCAGGTATGTGCCCTGACTGGGAATTGAACTGGCGACCTTTCAGTTTGCAGGCCAACACTCAGTCCACTGAGCCATACCAGCCAGGGCCCTTCTTTTTTCTAGTGTCTCTCTTTTCCTAAATTGAATATTTAGCCTTTTAATTGGCTAAACAACATCAAATTAAACTGAATTTGGGTATTCTTCTATGGCTCTTTTAGAGCAGATTAATGATCTTTTAAAAATACAGTGAAAAGAATGATACAGATCATTTTAATTACAAGTAAAAGATGAAGCCTGCAATCCCTCTGCCCCCATAAAAAAAGGAAGAAAAAGAGAGTAATTGTTTTTAATTTTGTGGCCTTTTTTTGTGGGGAAAAAAGAAATACATGCTTTCCTTAATATAAAGCATGACCATGTTTTGGCAAACATGTCTATAATCCTTTATTCGTATTTCCAAATTCTGGAAACTGAAAAATGAGTATTTTCCCCCTATGTGTAGCATAGATTCATTGTGTGACTATTCAGTATTTCAAGCCAGAAATATTTATGTGTTTAATCAAAGGTCGCTACCTCAGTACCTGCTGGACTAATATTCAACATATGCTGCATGTACTGTATTTTCTAAAATCTGAGTTGTTCTCAGTTCCAAAACACATTTGGCTTCATGGTTGTTGTTGGATAAGGAATGTGGATGTACCAAGATTTAGACTAGTAAAGAAAAGGGATAAAATGCTCTCCCAACTCCCTAGCTTTGCCATCTTTCCATAGGATTCTTTGGCCTAAACTTTGCTGTGAGATGAAATTAAACCTATAATATGCAGCATTTTTTTTTAAGGCCTACAATGTTAGAAAGAATGGTAATACCTAAACTTCTGTTTAAAAATTATCCTTTTGAGACTACATGCTTACATTTGTGTGGCAAGGACTGAGAATCCGTAATTCATTTCTGGTGTTCTATTAGCGTGGGTAAATCACTCGATGATTTGTATATTCTGTTAAAGGAGTATGAATATTATAAAAAAAGGAAAGCTTTATAACAAATAAATAATGTATGTAAATGGCAGGTAGACTATATAATGTGTTTGAAAAGTCCAAGTTAAAAATTTGAGCTTTTGTCATCTGGCAAAATATTGTTATAGTAACATTTAAAAAAATAAAATCGGGAGAAATGAAGTGTTTATCATAAGTAAAATTATGAGGCAACTAATTTTTATCTCTAATTAAGCAGAATATTAAAAAATTTAATCATTTCTTGATAGTTTTCTGTCTTAAGGTAGATGCTGAGCATTTTAAGAATCACAGTTAATTATGAATTCATTATAATTTGCTATATTGTGCATTACTTCTGCATTAGACTTCAGTTAATTCTAGATGCTGTCACTGTGTTACTTCTAGAAGCAAAATTCCCCCTAATTTATGCCTCCAATATACTGTGAATTGGGATAAAAATAACTGAGCCTAGTTTTAGTTTTGTTTTTGTCTTTTTCCTTTTTTGATAAGCAGTATTATGGAAACCTTGATGGACTCTCTTATTAGCACCTTTCTGCTCATATTTTTGTCATCTATCTTGGTTGCATTGAGGTCGTTTTTGCCCTCTTCCTCATTCTTTGTTGGTTCATATTGTTAAGCTTTCTCGTTGAGTAAGGTATTGTTGTACTATTAAATAATTTCCCAAAGCCAGTGGAGGACTAGGGGCCTTCTTTTTTGTTTTGTTTTTTTGGAAGTTATTATGTATATACAAATTTATAAAACATATGAGAAAGCAATATCCCAGCAATTTCTGTATATTATATATATCTGTAATTGACTTTTCTAAAATGTTCCTTTTCATTTTATTAGATAGCTTTTGTACTTAACAGTTTTGACTGTAAAATAGTCTATTAAGATACATCATAACACTAATACCACTAGCTAATATTTATTATTCTCTTACCATTGTCCTAAACACTCAACATTTATATATAACTTAAGTCTCACAGGAGCACTATAAGTAATACCCCCATCTTAGAAAAATGATGGCACAAGGCATCGAGTAGTTGTGTAACTTGTTCAGGATTCTGACCCAGGCACTCTGGCTCCAGAACCCATTCTCTGCTCTGTTGGGCACTTTGGTTGCTTCCAATTTTCCCTTTTATAAATAAAGCTGGCACAAATGTCATCCTGCATATAGCTCTTTGCATATTTAGGATTATACATTTGGGACAGCTTTGTAGTGGATCCTGATGGTGTTCATGTAAGAAGGAAGCATTTGGTAAAAGTGTATGGTACTAACACCTCATTTACCTTTAGGTACTGATGGACTATTATGGTTAATGTGCAGGGGAAATATATAGTATATTCTTTGTCTGGATAGCTTATAAGAATTGAATTACAATGTTCCTTTGATTCTAAAATTCACCTGCTCTTATTTTGTACCATTTCTTTTCTTTTTAAATTTTTAGGGGTGGGTTGGGGGGGGTAGGGGGAGAGAGAGAGAGAGAGAGAGAGAGAGAGAGAGAGAGAGACTGATTTATTGTTCCACTTATTTATGTCTTCATTCGTTGATTCTTGTATGTGTCCTGACCAGGGATCGAATCTGCATTTTTGGCATACTGGGATGGTGCTCTAACCAGCTGAGCTTCCTGGCCAGGGCCATATTTTGTACCATTTCTAAAAGCAGGATGCTTTTGCAACCAGTGTGTACATTTAATGTGGCTGTATTGATCTTTTCCTTTTTTCCCTTTTATCTTTCTCTTGAAAAGTTGTTTTTAAATCCCTGAGGCCCTGATACACTTGTGGTGCCTTAGAATAAATGGAATACAGTCTTGTATACTAGCTTTTTAAAGGTAACTGGAGAAAAGAAAGGTTTAATAAAACATTTTATTTTATAGACATACAGTCTCCTGATGCTGAGTATGTAGATTTGCTCCTTAATCCTGAGCGCTACACGGGTTACAAGGGACCAGATGCTTGGAAGATATGGAATGTCATCTATGAAGAAAACTGTTTTAAGTATGTGTCATTTCCATTTAGAAATTTTTAGAAGATGTAGTGATTTCTCTTTGTAAACAAATAAATGATTTAAAAGTACAAATCAAATTTACTTTGTTAAGGGATATATTGGGATATAGAAACATATTCATTATCCAGTTCTCTGGGGAAACATGTAGATATGTTTCAATAAATACATCTTTCTTCTTTTTTTTTATTTTTATTGCTGACACTGTTGAGGATGTCCCTATTGCTACCCTGTCTTTGTCCTCTTCCTCCCAGCCCCAGCTCCCCCTTCCCTCTGGTCATGATCACATGGTATCTTTCTTCTTTAAAAGACTTAGAATAGTATTAAGACTTTTGTGGGAGTGTTGTGGGCACTTAAAAAATGTTCCTTGAGTGGATCATAGAATATCACTTTATACATGAGGTAACCTAGGGCCAGAGAGATTTACTTCATTTTCCTAGATCATAAAGTTAGTTGCAGAGAATAGATTAGAATATATAACTCCTAAATCTCTTTCTGGTGACTTAAACTCCTGTTTTTTTTAGCTATAGTTATTTTAATCACTTTAAAGTTAAATTAATTTCAGAAAATAATTATAAAGCTAATACTTCTCAGCACTCACTGTGTGCCAGGCATTGTGCTTCCAATCACCCTGTGTTGTAGTCTTCAGTATTTACAGATGGGGAAACAGAAATTTGGAAAGCTGATTTTAAGAGATTTGTCCAGTATCAAAGATCTAGTAAGTGGAAGAACCCACTTTGTATTCTAAACCACGAAAGTGGGAGCAGTCAATTTGATCACTGGGTGACTGAGACATCCTTCAAGTTTACCCACTTGTAAGCCTCTAGGCTCTCTAAACAATGTGCTTATTGGTTTTTGGGAGAATTTCTGTGTGTGTGTGTGTGTGTGTGTGTGTGTGTGTGTGTGTGTGTGTGTGTGAGAGAGAGAGAGAGAGAGAGAGAGAGAGAAAGAGAGAGAGAGAGAGAGAGAATGTGTGTGTGTGTGTGATGCTATCTTAAGAGATTGAGGGGATTTCTGGAAAATTTTTGGAGTTTCCAGATATGGTGATAATACATTTCACTTTTTAAAAAAGATTTTATTTATTCATTTTTAGAGAGAGGGGAAGGGAGGGAGAAAGAGGGAGAGAAACATCAATGTATGGTTGCTTTTCACACTCCTGCCCACTGGGGACCTAGCCTGCAACCCAGGCATGTGCCCTGACTGGGAATCGAACTGGCAAACCTTTGGTTCACAGGCTGGCATTCAATACACTGAGCCACAAAAGCCAGGGCAATACATTTCACTTTTTACAAGTCAAATATAAACATAAGAGATCAGCAAGTATACTTACACCAATAAAATGTCAGACTTTTTTTTTTTTTGACTTGAAGAACTTCTCCAGTTTGGGGAATGGAGAGTTTTCATTGTTTACTCATTTTTGCCCTGTTTCACTTAAATTCTCTTGACTGTTATTCAGAATGTTTGATTTACTGTCTTACTTTAAAAGTATTTTTTTTAAATGCAAACTAAAATAGTGTCCAACTGAACCATTTGTTAGATTTTGTATTAGTTCTTTTCTAACTAATTTATATCATCATTCCCACAGTATTTCTAGAATAAAAAAATGTATCGGGTGCTAAATTGAGTATGTTAAAATATAACTCAGATGTTTTGTTCTCAAAATGTCTCAACTTATGCAAATTTGTAAAATTTAAATAATGGATATTAAAACAATCCCTATATTTCACATAATGATACTAATGAATATTTATTTTGAGACTTAAAAGCACTTTAGTGACATAGTAACTATTTTTTTATTTAAAAAAAACACCTTTTATTGAAATCATAACAAACTTGATGGCCACAGGGCAAACTGATGTACCTGAGATTTCCTAAGTGGAAAATAATCTATCCCCCGTTTTCCTTTTTAATTTTAATGCTTGTGTTGAGTATTTATATTTTTTGCTTATTTTCTTTAAATTTGGAGTGCTCTTTGTGGCACACACACACGTATGTAATGTATTTTAAAACATATTAATGACTGTAGGAGAAGAGCTTGAATGGTATTTTTAATTCCTTTGTTTGAAGAAGAGATTTGGAAATGAGTTTCTGGCAGCTACAATGGGAAAAATCATACACTATTATCATTAAAACAAATAACAACCGCCCTCCCTTAAAACAATTAGAGAAAACTAAATATTTTATAAGCTGAATAAAACAATTTTGGATATAGTAATTAAGAAACTTTTGAGATAATTTTATTTTTACTTAAATAATTATAACATGATATGTAATATATTTATATTTTATAATTTAATTCTTTTGATTCCAGGCCACAGACAATCAAAAGGCCTTTAAATCCTTTGGCTTCTGGTCAAGGTGAGTTATTTGTTTGCACTGTTATACTTCTCAGCCAGGTGAACTTTGATTAGAAGGAGGGGGAAAGCAGGTAAGTGTTGGCAAGAGCATTTGAGATCACATATTTCTTTTTATGTATAAGTCATGCCTTATCCTTGCAGGAAAATTGGTGTTTGAGATACCCTTGAGGAAGGAGTACTTTTCTGTAATTAAGTTCATGGTATTAGACTATCATAGGATGAAGATTAGGTTATACAGTGTATTTTATTCTATGCATTTTCACAGAATGTGTGCTCAGTTTTTCTATTTTTTACTCATTTTAAAGTTAAATGAATATCCAGAAAAATCTGCCTCCGATCTTTCCCAACACTTGAAATTATTGTATACAATGGGAATCTAATTTAAAATTCACATGTTTTTACATCTCATTAACATTTTTCCTTTTCTTCTTACACTTAAGGTCTGGCCTAAATGTTTTCTTTCCCACAAAATTTTCTCTGATCCTCTTAACTGGAAGCAATCTCTTCTCCTTGTGAAGTGTTCTTATGCCATGTTTGTTGCCCTTATAGCCCTTTCCATTGTCTAGAATTATTTGACTATTATTTATATATCTATTGATCTTCCCTAGTACTTTGGACATGTGGGCAACATTTATTGGTTTAATCTCTTAATCTAGAGCCTGGCACATGATGGATGAAAATTGTCCTCTTTTAATAGTCTTGCCTACAATAGTAAAAATCACTTGTTCCTTCAACAAGTGATTATTTACCATTTACTACGTGCTAGGCACTGTGTAGGTGCAGAGGGGGCATACAATTGAAATTCACAAACCTTCATCCAGTCTATAATAAGCAGTTATAATATATATCCCTATTCTCTGAATATGTGCTTACTGATGAAATCTTTGATGTGCTTTTACAAAATTGTGTAAGGTTATAATTTTTAAAATTTATTTGAAAAGCTACTGAACTCATATAGTCCATAAACATAAATTTCCTCCTGGAAAGCAGTGGGTTGCATCATTTCCTAGATGTTGGCAGACTACTCTTTCTTATATTAGGAATGAAAGAACATTTTTAAACAAGGCTTTTGAGTTTATGCAGAGTCATATGGTAGCTCAGTGGAAGGTGTTGATTTAATATCAAATGAAATGCAAATTCCTAGATGAGAGGGGATCCTCCCTATGAACTCACATTATGATCTGATAATTAATTAACCACCCTCACTTATCTTAAAGATAAATGGCAACAATTTAAATGTTTATCATTACAGGACTGGTTAAATGATTTATGATATATTCACATAGTAGAATATAACCATTATAAATGTTGCTGGAAATCTGTATTCATTTGTATCAATAGTTATCAGTAGGACCCAACTGACACTAAAGGATGAATCACAATTGTACAGAGAACCTTTCTTAGTCTTCAGATCTTGGAGAATTTTAGATTCCTCCCTTTAAATGTCTGATGTGTTCTTTGGAAAAAAAAAATGTTTTATTCTTATAAAAAATAGTGATCAATAGCACACTGGGGAAAAACAGGTATCAAAACATTACAGAAGTATGTATAATACATTTTTGTAAAAACTAATAATATGTAAATAGCTATACACAAAGAAAAAGATCATTTACCAGAATGTAAGTGGTATTTATCTTTGGGCAGAGGGAGTTATGGATGATATTTTTTATTTTGTTTGTGTTCTCTTTTTTAAAAACATGTATTTGCAATGAGCATATGCTACTTTAGTAATCCACCAATGATGGCATTAAATAAAAGTGGGCAAATGAAGATAATTTTTCAATAGTAAATGAGCAGCTGCATAGGAATTGTTAAATTGTGTGTAATTTGAATCTTACAAATAGTCTCTAAAAATATTCCTGAATAGAGTAAAATTTTATAATGTCAGTCTGGAGGTTTCAAAGCAATTAACACAAATTTGTAACAGAAACTATGTTATAACTTTAGGATAAATAAATGTGGAAGAATGCTCTGCAAGCCAAATAACCCTAAGTCCTTAAAATAATTCAGAGTACTCTCAGATGATAGATTAGATTTTCATCTCCTGTGAGCCCATGTGAAATCTGTATGAGCTGAAACTACTCTGTATTTGGGCTCTTGGAGATGATGACCTTTAGTCTTTCCCCGGTTGGAGTTGCAGGCAGAAGCATATCACAGATTTTGCTTATGTGGATGAACTGATGGACTAACACTAACCATTACTTAAAAAGCCTTATTTTTATGGAAGTGTAGCATTTTAAAAGGGGAATCTGGAAGGAGTTTATAATAAACATTGTATTTTGTTTTTCAGGGCAAAGTGAAGGTAAGTAGAATTTCTTTATTGTACATTACGTATATGAACTTGCTTATATATTCAGGTATTTATTTGGCAAACTTTTTTCACTTATGAGACTCAGAAGAGGTTAATTCTTATTTCTTTATCTAACATTCTGGAGTTGAAAGCACTGGTTAAAGGAAAATGACTATTTGTGCCTGGGATCAGGCAAGAGGGGACAGCCTGCCTCAGCCTCTGATAATTCACTCCTACATTTCCCACTGCACAACGGAAGCTAGAGAGCTCCCCCAGCCTCTGTGAGGAAAAACAGGTTGAACTCAAGGACCTGCTGGGTCTCAAATAGGAAGGTTCTAGGCATGATCAGAGTGTTGATTTACTGGCTTCCAAGGCTTATGCTGACTCTTGGGTGTAGGCATCATTGCCAATCCTTTCAGTTAATTGCAATGCTAAATTTTTAACATACTGTAGGTTTACTTTGTCTTTTTGAGAATCCTTTTGCTGTATGAGTGAGATCAAAATGATTTTTTTCATTAAGGCCACGAGTTTAACAATATGAAAAGACTAAGCTGTACTTAGCTTTAGTCCAGCTAGATGAAATTGTTAAATGTGAATTATCACTTTCCTCTTCCTCCAAATCCTCTGAACATTATTTTTATGAATTGCTTTTGCATTATGTTTAAAAAATGATACTAAAGCCTGATAACATTGCTATTTTATTGTTGTACTTTGTATTAATGGCAATGGTATTAGCTAAGTAAAATACTGAATCAGAACTGTACTATTTGGAAATTTCTTTAGCAGTAATATTATTTTTTCCAAAGATGCCTCATATATTGTTAATGTTAATGGTGATCTATAATTTTCAGTTTTGTGTAGCCTTATTCTACCTTGGATGTCCCTACTCCTATGCTATATACCAGCTCCATCAGAAGAGGCTATTTTGTTTTTTCAATACTATTTGAAGATCTCAACCTCTCTCTCATCAGAGAAAAGATTGTTAACCTGTGGAGGCTAACCTTAGAGAAACTATCTTATTTATGACTGTGAAAGTATTTGTTTGGGCCAAATATGAAAAGGTTATCACTGACAGCTGTCATATTAGGTGATTATCTAAATTGATCATAATCAAGTCAACCTGAGAATAGCTACTTCAGGATTAAAAAACTGAACTGAAAATTTTACCGAAGGCTAGGTCACAAACAGTATTACACTCCTGCTCCCTACCCTATTCCTGGTCCAAAACTTGAAAAAAAAAAACCCTAAAGGTTTTTATAGTGAAACACATCACTTGTAACCCCATAACTCCAAAACAATTGATAATCATCATGGTGAAGGTCACATGCCAGTACTCTTCTAAGAAATTTATAAATATGATTTCATTTAATCCTTCCCACAATCCTAGAAAGTATTATTATTTCCATTTTATAGACAAGGAAAATTAGTTTCAGAGCTGTTTGGCAACTAAGCTAAAATCATATGACTTGTAAGTAGCAGAATTTGGATTCAGATCAGACAGTTTGGCTCCACGGTCCATGCTCTTAGGTACTATCTCATACTGCTTCTCTGTTAACATTTTGATAATTATTAACATATGTATATTTTAGAATATATTATTACAGTTTTGTATATTATTCCCATGACTACTGCTTCCTTAGCCTATGTTTTAGTTCCGGCTGCTCTGGCAAAATACCATACACTGGGTGGCTTAAATGAAAGACATGTATTTTCTAACAGCTCTGGAGGCTGGAATCAAGGCGCCAGTGGATTTGGTTTCCGGGGAGGGCCCTCTTCCTGGTTTGTAGAAAACCTGCCTTCTTGCTGTATTTTCACATGACAGAAAGAGCTTGGGTCTCTTCCTCATCTTATAAAGGCACTCATTCCATCATGGGGACCCCACCCTCATGACCTCAACTAAACCTAGTTACCTCCAAGAGGTCCCACCTTCAGATAACATCACAAGGAGCTTCAACATATGAATTTTAGGGGATATGCAAACCTGCATCTCTAAGAGCCTGGATTTCTACGAATGGATTTACTGGATCAAAGGATGTGGACATTCTAGGCTCTTGATACATATGGCCAGATTGCATTTTGTCATTGAAAGCCTGTGCTAATTTATATCCCTTCCAAACAATATGCTAGCTAGTTTTACCTGACCCTTATTAGCATTAAATATTACATCTTTCTTTTAAAGTGGTATCTCTTTAAATTTGTATTTTTCATTACTAATGAGCAATTTTATCTATTATCATTTGTATTTTTTTCCTTGTAAATTCTCTATTCATTTTATTTGCTCATTTGTCATGGGCACTTTAGCTTTTTTATTCAGTTTATGAGCTTTTTATATTTTTTAGGATATTATTCCTTTGTTGTATTTGCAGCATCCATTTTTTACCTACTTTGTTGTTTGTATATTGCTTTTATTTGTGAAGTTTTCTGACAGATGTTTTAAGTTTTCAAATAGTCTAATTTATTGCTTATTCTCTTTGTTATTTCTTCCATTACTTTTATGCTTGCTTAGTTCATTTTTAATGTTACGATAAGCAACATTAGTCAAAAGAACTACATAGTACAATGTTTGCCATCTCTAGCAAATGCATACTTAGAATCTTTCAATAGTTATAATTATTTCTTATGTATTTTAATATATTATTTCAAATAAACATTTTTATATTTGTCATGTTACACATTCTTGTCATTTTAATAGTTTTATGTTGTTTTACTATGTTAACTAGTTATGTAGTATTCTGTCATGTTAAATTAGGCATCATTGTACCTTTCAATGATTTCAGGTTTTAAAACTAATATAACATAATCTTTCTACAAAAAATAACTCTTCCTTTGAGTTATTTTTTTAGAGCATAATTCTAAAAGAATTCCCAGGTCTATGTATATTAACTGTGATATTATTAGGTCATATAAGTGATGTTTAGTTTCTCTAACTTTTTTTGATTGGCTCTTTTGAATTATGGAATAGTATATAATACAATGAACTATATACAAATAATACACCTCCAGTTCTACTTTATAATTCTTATAAATTAAAAATTTATAAAAAATTTAAATTTAAAAAGCATATAATGAGTTCTTAGTTTTTATAGCATGAACTGCTATAAAGGCTAAGTATTTTCCCATGTATTGATTTAACATTTAAATTCTGTGTTGACCTCCTATAAAATACGTTACCAGAGAATGATGAAATGGACTACCTAAGCCTCCCAAAGACTGAGCAGGAGATTAGTACTTAACTGAACCCATACCAAGACATCTCTCTTTCCTTTTGAGAAATTGCAAATAAAATTTAGACCTTTAGTTAAAGAATCCTTAAATCACTGTTTGACACAAATTTGCTATGTTTTTAAACTTTTGAAAAAATTGCCTTTTGGCATTTTTATAATCTGACTTATTTTTCTTTTAATTTCAGAGAACACTTTTTACAGTTGGCTAGAAGGTAATTGAAAACTGTTAAGCAAATTTAAATGATAAATTTTTTTCTCATTTTTAAAGACACAAATTTCATAATCTTAGAAGTTTAACATGTGAAATTTCTATTTCCAAATTACTTTTCTTTAGGCCTTTGTGTAGAAAAAAGAGCATTCTACAGACTTATATCTGGTCTACATGCAAGCATTAATGTGCACTTGAGTGCACGTTATCTTCTACAAGGTATGTGACATTCACTTTTATTCTCCATACCCACTTATCTTCAGGTATTCTTAACATTTTTTTTGGTATTTACCTGAATGGAACAAAGTTGACCTTACTGAGTATTGGGCATAAAAAGTTTATTCTTAAATGGTAGTAATCAGGAATATAGGAACTATAGATACTATTAAGAAGTTTGGCATTATCTTAGCTCTTCACCTTCTTTTAAGAAGCTGCTCCAAACTGTACACATATCATTGGAAATGTTCTTTTGTGGTGGGAATCAAAATAGCCCTTAACAGCACAGTTTGTTTTTCTTTAGATATTACTGTATCAGAACTTCTTTATGTGTGTGCCAGCTTCAGGCCTGGAGTTCAATGGGGGAAGAGCATTTTCTGGTGTTCTTTATGCTTTAAGAATGCTGTTGAAAAATGAGACCATTGTTGATTTTCATCAGTAACATATTTCCTCTAGAATTAAAGTATTTTTCATGTTTTAGAAATAAAATATAGTAATCTTAAGGCTTTAAACTCATTTGTAATTTTAGGTAGTCATTTTTAATTGTGTATTTTGGTTTTATGAATATGTTTATATTCAGAAATTTGATTATTTATTAAACCTGGTTTCTCAGTAAAACATTTAATTTATTGTTCTTTTCTGGATGGTTTCTAGAAGATCAAATATTCATATAGAACTATTCAAGGCTAAATTATGAAAACCAGTTTTCCTGGTTATAGTATATATTTTAATATAGAAAATGAAATTAACTCTTATAGGCTTAAACAACCTTGTTGGGAACTGTCCCACCTAGTGTCAGGGACTGTAGCCTCACCAATAGGCGAGAGGGCCCCAAGGCTGAATCTGAGCAAGATCTTGGGGAAATAGGCCACTGAGGAGACAAAACCTGTCCTCCTGGCAGGGGCTGTGCCCCTGCCACCCTCACATCACCCTGCTTGACCCCGGAGGATGGCTGGTTAGTCAATGATGGGCAAGACCCCTCAATGGCAGGGGCAACCTAAGAGAGGTACAGTTGCATGGGGGCCATCAGGGAATAACTTGGGGGACATGGAGAAGGGTCAGAAGACCCTTGTCCGTCAGCTTTGTTATGGCTGGAGTCCTCATCCTACCTGAAAGAAGTCTTCTTATTCTCTTGGCTGCTCTGCCGGGCTGCCTGACTGGGTTAGTGAAATAATACTACAGGCAGGTACAGCCCTAAACTGGATCAGGTGGGTTCCCCGGGACAATTAGGTCTAGAAAAGAAATATATTAAATCCTATGAAATTTACTTTGCTAAGAATGCCCTCAAGTTAATGAGTACTGATGTTTGGGGTCGAGCATAGAATGTGATCAGTTTCCCACACTTCAGGTGAATGGGCACCCTGTCTACCAGACAGGGTACCTGACTTGAGGCAAATCTCTGTGCTCCTTCAATTGTTATCTATGATCTCTGTTTTCTGTAAACATAGCCTTTTGACATTGATTGATGAGCTTTGCATGCTGCTGTATACCTCTGCACTATCCTCTATAAAAGCCACTTCAAGAAAAGGGCTTGGGGAATTCTCCACTAGAGGGAATTGCCACCCCCTTTTCCTGGCAGACCGAGTGTCTGGAATGACTTATTTCCTTCATCCGTGGCGATCCAGGGGCACTCTGTGGGAACGGGGTACACCCCTCACAACCTAATATAAGTAAAATGAAACTTACTTAGTTTTAAAATTCAGTTTTTAATGTTTAATTCTTATTTCTTCTTAGATACCTGGTTAGAAAAGATATGGGGACACAACATTACAGAATTTCAGCAGCGGTTTGATGGAATTTTGACTGAAGGAGAAGGTCCACGAAGGCTTAAGAACTTATATTTTCTCTACTTAATAGAATTAAGGGCTTTATCTAAAGTGGTACCATTCTTTGAGCGCCCAGATTTTCAGCTCTTCACAGGGAATAAAATTCAGGATGAAGAAAACAAAAAGTTACTTCTGGAAATACTTCATGAAATCAAGTAAATAATATATTAACAAATTATACATTAATAGAAGAATGACAAATGGTATCTAAAATTAAGTTCTTAAATATGCAATATAGAGAAAGGAAAACTATTTTAAAAATTATTAAAAACTAATTTTTGCCTGTAGGTTTTTTAGAATTGATTTATGTTTTTGGTTTTGTTTTAACCTGGATACTAAAAAGTATATATTTTTAATTTTAAGAGCCATCCTTTTAGTACTTAGATACCTGCATTATTTTCACATTTAGTTGAACAAATTGGGTTTAGGGCCAAACTTCAATTATATATTGCAGTTAGCCTTTGGATTTGAGAGTAAGAATTTATAGGGGCATCAGAGTGTTAATTTTACTATATTTTCTACTCTATTTTAATTATGTGATTCATCACTGACCAGCAAAATGTTATATTAGCAGAACTTTTAATATTTTATAGTATATGAAACTGAATATTCTGTTTTAAAATGCAGGTCATTTCCTTTGCATTTTGATGAAAATTCATTTTTTGCTGGGGATAAAAAAGAAGCAAACAAACTAAAGGTAATTATTTTATACTTTTACTAACTTTTTAGATATGAACACTTATGCAGGTATGAATATAAGCCCATGTTTTTATGCTTAATGATAAATGTTGGAATACATCCTGAAATTATAAGAAAAATCAGAGTCATAATGTTTCTTTTCCCCAGAAAAAAGGAAGTCCAAAGGTAGGTCCAGCTTATGATCGTTTGTGTTATGTTCAAAATAACAATTGAAATCTGTGTATCACTGCGCACTTTATAGATGGTTCCATATTGATGGTCTCAGGTAATGAAGAGAAGTTATAAATGAAAGGAAAGGGATCTAGAGCAGGAGTGGAAGTATTTGTCTTTGGTTGAAGAGGATTCTGAAAATGGTTTTCAATGAATTAAAGGATCTTCTTAAAGGGGAGAGGACGCAGCGTTTTTTTTTTGTTTTGTTTTTAGATTTTATTTACTTTTGTATTTTAGAAAGAGGGGAAGGGAGGGAGAAAGAGAGGGAGAGAAACATCAGTGAGTGAGAAAAACATGAATCGGTTGGTTGCCTCTCGCACGCCCCCAACCAGGCACCTCGCACCTCGCCTGCAGCCCAGGCATGTGCCCTGATGGGGAATTGAACCGACGACCCTTCGGTTCATAGGCCGTGCTCAATCCACTAAGCCACACCAGCCAGGGTGTGTTATTTGTTTTTCCATTCATCTTTTTCAGTGGAAATTAAAGGCATTTAGGAATGCCAACATGCAATTGGAGAAAGAACAGAGACCTGATACCCCACAAAATGTGGTTTGGTGTTTGCCTTGCCTCACCTCTTTTTGTTTGTTTATTGATTTGTTTGTATATTATTAAAAAATTTTAATTACAGATGACATACAGCATTGTATTAGTTTAGGTGTATAATTTGCCTTGCCTCTTAATAGAGGTATACAGCTTCAGGCAACACCATCTTTATGTCTATTTGCATCAAAATTCTATAAATATAAAATAGTACAAGGAAGATTTTTTAAATGACTATTAATGTGGAGAGCATGATTTTTGTCATTAAAGGGAGAGACAGGTCCTATCCTCAAGGGATTTGTAGCCTATTTGGGGACTCAAGTTAAATTATATTACTGCTCTCTGTTACAAAGCTATAGGTAAGTAAAGGCAGATAGCCTTCAGGAACATTGGGTTTGATCTGATTTCATCAGAATATTTATAATAGTCCTCCTCTGCCTTATTCTTTTTTTCTTTCTGTAAGGAAAGAACTTGATTTTATGCAGCTTGCAAGCAAAATAGTTTTTGCACTCACGTTTTTTCCTGTTAGATAAGTTATTTTTGACCTCCCACCTACCTCTACTTAAAGCATTCTTGCTAGGAATACATAAATCAGTGCTTATATAACCTCCCAGCTTCCAGGAACTTAGAAATGAGGGGGAAGATTCTGTAATAAGATTTTTCCCCCTACTATTTTCAATATCTTCCTTATTTTTAGGATACTTGCTGGTGTATTGGAGAGTGTTTTAGCTTTTACTCTTATACTGTGCAGATTAGAAATATTTCTCACAATGTTTTGATTTTATCAGAACCAAAACACTCAAGTTTGATGTCTTACTATGGCATTTAACAGATAATTTTCCTGAACTCTTTTACAAGAAAAGAGTAAAAAACAAGAAAACTTGTTCATATCAGGGATTTACTTTCTTTTAAAAAGTAGTTTATGGTGAACACCATAAATCTGTACAGTCCATTATCAGTTCATTTAAAAATTTCATCTTGTCTCCTTTATACTCTATCAGTGTTTGCTTAGAAATAGAAGGCTTGCATGAAAGAGGATTGTTGAATGTTCAATTCAAACTAGAATGTGATTTACTTAAAAGCTTGTAAAACATATGATAATTGAAAGAGAATTTTTTGGGGGGTCAGTTGGTTTCATTGAATATAAAGCATAGTATATTACCATAGTATGTTTGATTATTCTACCTACTGACTATAATTTTAAGTGTTAATCTGAAAACTGTATATAAACAAGGAGAATCTGTAAGTGATTAACGTTCTGTTTATTTTAAGGGTCATACATTTTCTAATCTGAGATAACTTTGGAATAAACTTATGTTATTGGACATTGATTTTTATTTGTAGAAGTCACAAGGGTTTCTCCTGTTCTGAGCAAGTAAATTTCCAGTTTATTAATTTGGTTCTAGCATAGTAAGTTCATTTAAGCACGTGTCCTTGGTTTTCATTTTGCCCTGCTATTTTGGCTATTTTAAGAAATCATGCTTAGTCTCTATATATGCCATACAAAGATTTACTCAAGAGCTGCCACATTCAAGTATTTAAATTGACAAACATAGATTGAAATACTGAATTTAGTGTCTACAACAAGCACAATCTTTTATAAGAGTTTTCCATCTTCTACAAGTATGAGACTTTCATGCTTTTTTTTTTTTTTTGGTTGGCGATGGGGCAGGGCTTAAAACAACAGAAATTTATTCTCTCAGTTCTGGAGGCCAGAAGTCTCAAATCAATGTGACAGCACAGTATGAGTCTCTTAAATTCAAAACCTTTCAAGACCTTTCCTCATGACAGTGGTGTTTTAAATATCTATTGATTGTGAAAATATAATTTCTAAAAGTCACTATACATTTAGTAACATTTTTAAAGTAAAAATTGTGTTTTAATGATCATACATTTGTATCACTTGAAAATTTATAGAGCTTACATGTGAGCTATTTATTCTGTATATATCCAATGGTTGTCTACAAATGGATTTTGTAGGCTCTTATAGTAACTATTAAGTCTTCCAGAGGTCAACACTTCATAGGATGGAGCATCTACTTTAGAGTAACTTTACTTTTCTGTTGTAAGTGAGAAAGTATGCTTTTTCTTTAATTCAAAGTCAAAGCATAAGTTTAGAGGAAACCTCAAACCAAAATCACCAAAATCTTAAGAGTAATATGAGTAATATTACTGGGTAAATATTTTTTAAAGAGTAGATTTCAAATTAGGATTACCTTTTACTGGGCTCAACCCAAAAGGTACAGAAACACAAGATATAGAATATTGCTAACATATGATACTAACCAATAGTAATATTTAGGGCTTTATATTAACAGAAAATTTGTATTAATAAAGATACAAGATCTGGGATCCTATTAAAGATCTTTCATGTGTTACAGTTGTTTCAGTCTTAAGCTGAGTGAAACATCTGGGGAAAGACTGAATTGAGTAAATTAGAGTGAATTGAGGTCTGCTTTGAATAGTGGGTTCCAATCTTTGCTGATTTATTCTCATTTTTAGATCTTTGGTCCTGTTCTCTTCTGCTTGAGCCCAGTATGTGGTTTATCACAGAGAGGGAGGGAGAGAGAGAGAGAGAACACTAAACACTCTATGCTCCCCCAATAATAGGTCAGTTTGTGTACTGGATGTTCCATCCAAAATGTATGTCAAATTTCCTGCTTACAGGACTGTAAACTGATTCCAGTGTAAGTCCAGGACAGAGAGAGTCAATTGGAGGATCAATTCCTAATTGCCTTTGGAGTAAATGAAGGATGTGTTCTTGACTTCTTTTCTTTTTTCCTTATTATTTAAGGACATAATACTGCTTTTGGTGAGCTGGATGCCTGTTGCCCTATTATAAACAAAATAATACCCTAATGTTCAAAGATATATATATATATTTATTAAAAGTATAAAAGCAAAAAATTCAGAATGTTTGATTTTACTTGTAATAGTTTTTTAATAAAACTTGGTGAAGGATACATGGTTGTTCACTATATTCTGTATATTTCTGAATAATAATATCTGATTGTTTCACCTAATTAATACCAGAAAGAGGGCTTTAACTATTATGTTGTTAAAAGTTTTAATTTTCTTCTCTCCCTCCCTACCTCCTTCTCTCTATTTTTTTGGGGGGTGGGTAAATGAGACCATCCAATTCCTGTCCTCTTTCTTCCAATATTGACATATAGTTAATAATCACATCTAACAGAACATCTCATAGATGGCACTCAGAAAATATAATTTTATTGAATTGCTTTTTTAGGAGGAATTTCGACTGCATTTTAGAAATATTTCAAGAATCATGGATTGTGTTGGTTGTTTTAAATGTAGACTGTGGGGAAAGCTTCAGGTAAGCAAATCTATCTCAATTCTACTTTTCATTTTTTTTTTGCACAAAGAATTTCTGATTTTCCTTTTTTTAATTTCTATTATAGACTCAGGGTTTGGGTACTGCTCTGAAGATCTTGTTTTCTGAGAAACTCATAGCGAATATGCCAGAAAGTGGGCCCAGTTATGAATTCCATCTAACCAGACAAGAAATAGTATCATTATTTAATGCATTTGGAAGGTTAGTCTAAATATATTGAAACTGTTTCTGCTAGTCAAGTAAGTCTGATGTAACATATATACTTTCAGATAAAACTAGGTGAGGAATGTCTTTTATGATAAAATTATTTCACTACAGAATTCTATGATCTTATGAACTACCATAAATATAGATACTGTCATTACATGATATTCTTTATTTTTATTGTCTTTTATAATCTTGATTAATTTACTGATTTCACTTCAATAATAATCTTCCTGAATTTGTATATATTTTCTAATTATTTAAAAGTAGTTTTTTGCATTGCCCAAATTTTATTTATTTTTAGAGATGGGAAGGACAGGAGAAAGAGAGGGAAGAAAATGTCAATGTGTAGCTCTCTCACACGCCCCCAACAGGGGACTTACTTGCAGTCCAGGCATGTGCCCTGACCTGGAATTGAACCAGTATTCCTTTGGTTTTCAGGCCAGTGCTCAATCCACTGAGCCACACCAACCAGGGCTACCCACATTTTTTTTAAAGGTCCTGGAAAAACTCATGTTGTTTAGCAGCTCAGTGGATTGAGTGCCAGCCTGTGAATCAAAGGGTCCCCGGTTCGATTCCCAGTCAGGACACATGCCTGGGTTGCAGGCCAGTTCCCAGTAGGGGGCACACGAGAGGCAACTACACATTGAAGTTTCTCTCCCTCTCTTCCTCCCTTCCCCTCTCTCTAAAAATAAATAAATAAAATCTTTAAAAAAAAAATCTCATGTTGTTTAACATAGATATACATGTAAAATTTCTTTGTGAATTCACCATTATGTAAAAAGGGTAATAATTCTTTAAAAAATAATTTCATAAAAATAACTGGAAGATAAGCATGAAAAAAGACCATGTACATTATAAAATTTAAGTATAGATGCATTTCCTTCTGGCTTATCATATGTAAAAATTCAGAGATTTATTAAAACTAGTATTATCTGAGGATATTAACAATTATGATTTAATATTTTGGGTTCTTTAGTACACAGAAGCTTGACAGTTATATTTCTTTGAGTACTCTGCTACGTTTTTCATGGTAGAGAGCAGAGCTAAACTACACTTGAAATAATGAATAAAGTTTACTTATTGTAAAAAATTAGTGAAAATAATTTGATCACACATTTACTATTCCTCTTTTTTAAAGTTCAGAAGCTTTGGTTCTTTGTATATTTACTAGATATGATATTGATTAGTTTTCAGTACTCATATACTTATGCATATTTAAAATGCATATTTTAATGCTTATGTACTTTATACTTTAAAAACTAAGTATTGCATATACTTATGAATACATAAAATACCTAAGTATTTTTAACATTTTTGTATTTGGTAGTTCTGTAATTTAAAACTTTAATACTAAGTTATGAATACTTAAAGGTAACAAATTTCTGAGCAATGGTATCTTAGTTTTGCCACATCAAGAACTAAAGTACATCAAAATAGGTAATATGATTTATGCACCTTTAAATTTGTTAAAATAAATGACTTAAAATTTTTTTTCTGTGCTCTAAATATGCAAAGTAAATAACTTAGAAAAGATATCTAAGATAGTTTCTGAGTGAAATTTCTTTTGGTTGCAGAATTTCTACAAGCGTGAAAGAATTAGAAAACTTCAGGAACTTGTTACAGAATATTAATTAAAGAAAAGTTGAAATATGCCTTTTTATGGACAGTGGAGGTCAAAGAGTGGAATCTTGTTCAAAGGCATCATAACAATGGCAGTCTTAAGGCAAATATTTTATAAAGCTGCTTTTGTAAAAGGAGACATACTGTTTTAATAAACATTTTTTAATTGTGTTAAGTCTATGTATAATATTGTGAGTAAAAGTTATACTTTGGTAATGTGATACAAATTTTGAAGTTTAATATTGAATAAAATCAGGGTTATTAAATTCATATATGGTAAAAGCCAGTACATGATATTTTAGGTCTCTCAAACTAGAATTTTATGTAAGATGTAATATAAATAAAACTATGGCCATTGTGACAAGTGTTTAATAGAACAATGCTAAGGAGGCTCATGAATAACCCATAATTAACAGCCTAAAATTCTTCAATGCATTTAGAGTTAACTGATATAGTAAATAAAAATACAGAATGACCAGTTAAATTTGAATTTCAGATAGTTTTTAATATAAGTATGTTGCATGCAATATTTGAGACTTATACCAAAAAATTATTTCTTATTACAATTCAAATTTAACTGGTAGTCCTGTGTCTTATCTGGCAACCCTAAAATACATTGATATGAAAAAAAAAATCACTTGTAGAATTATATTACTATCTTGAGTGACTTGTTTTGGTCTGTAGAAAGATATGGTGACAACTGAAAGGCATAGGGGATTTCTATACATTGTGAAAAGTTGAATAGATTTATATATATTTATTCTCATAATACTTTACCTAATACTGAGTAAAATTTGGGAGAAATTTTTTATTTTTATATAATTTGAAATTTACAGAAAAGTTTCCAGGATAGTACAAAGAACTCTTTTACCCAGATTTACTAATTGTTCATATTTGCTTAATCATGACCTTTGAACCCTACCTACTTTAGTTGTGTAATACTGAATAATTTATTAAAAATAATTTCAGAAAAAAATCTGGAACTATAATATAACAAGCCTTAGAATAAGGGATCATTTGAAGTTTCAATCTAATATTCTTTTTGAGTTTTGTTGCCCTTTTAATGTTTGATATGTAAACTCACTGTGTATATAATTTTTTGTTTTTTGTATTCATTTCCTTTTTCTCCTTAAAATTAAACTGTAATTTTGGGAGGTTTCATTAGAGGAAGCTCTTCAATGATAAAAACTATTTGAAGGGGTTTAGGAATTTATATCACATGGTAATTGTAGGGGAAAAAACTGCATACCTCAAAATTATGTGCCTCTTTATATATCTGAGCAGGTAAAACTATGTTGAGATGTCACATTATTAATAAAGCAGGGTTTATTTATACAATGGTGTAGAAATGCCACTTTACACTGCTGTATACTTTTTCTTTTCTGTGTCCCTAAGGCCTGGTATAGTGCCAAATACAGTGGGTATCCAAAAAAATGTTTGTTGAATGAAAGTATGAATATGCGTTCAGTATATTTTAAATGAATAATCACAGAGCTAAGTTTAACAGTATGTGTTGTATTTTTCTTTTTCCCCTCACTTGAGTAGGGCAAGAAAAGAAAGACATTAACCTACTAGTTAAGTCAATATTCCTGGAGACTCAAAGGACAATGAAATAAGCACCATATATAAAAGTTTATGGATTTAAATGGTAATTTGTCTGTATACCTGTCTCATGCCTCTACCCCTTTCTTTTTAACAGCCGTTTTTCTTTTTAAAGAATAATCCTTTCTTTACTTTGTCACTTTCCACTTACCCCTTAACTAAAATCTGGCTTTTGGCTCTGTAGTAGCTCTTGACAATCTCTTCCTCTGACGTCTAAAACCCCAGTTCTAAATCCACAGTTCAGTTCATAAGGCATTTCTTATTTGCCTTTTTTCCCTCCTGCATTTGACACTGTTGACAGCTCCTTCTTTAAAAATCTTTTTAAAATCCCTGATTTCCTTTTATTTCTTCACTTAATCCTAGATGCCTCCTTTTTATCCCCTTTTCATTTATGCCTTAAATGTTATTCCTCAGGCTTTCAGTCTTGCTCTCTAAATCACCACCACTTCTCACGTTGGGCTAATTCCAATTCAATGATTTCTAAATCCTTATCTTTCCCAGACCTCTCCATCCATCTGTCTACTACATATCTTTACTTGGTTGTCCTACAGATATCTCTGTGTGTTTCTTAAAAGAATCATTCTCCCCCAAATCTACTCTTATGCCTATGTTCCTTACTCTGGTTAAATTCAGAGACATTATCATCTAAATTCTCTAGGCTCACTCCTCTCCTCCACCTTCCTCCTATCCAATCAATATCTAAGAGCTATGGATTTGCTCTCCCTACCTCTGACACAGCACTGTCTTTCCATATTCATTGCTTTTAACTAAAGAACTACACTAACCTGTCTGCTTCTCCCCAGCCTGTCAACTCTATTTGCTCCACAATGCTACCAGAGTGCGTTAGAGCACTAGAAACGCTCTAACAAGATTCTCTGCTGTGATCTCCTAGTGTCACTTCCCCCAATCCCTATGTTCTGATAAAACGGACTTAAGAGTTCTTCCAGTGCACCATGGTCAGTCCCCCACATCAAGTGCCCTAGCTATCCTTCCCCACCTGGAAAATTTCTATTCATCTTTGCAGGCCCAGCTAAAGCATCATCTCTGTGAAATCTCCCTTGTTGCATCCAAGGAGGACCATAACTAACTTCCTTCTTTTGTGTTACCACTGTAATTACAACCTACCTCTATTGTGTCACTTACTGTACTGTATTGTTTTTGTCTTTTTTTAAGCCTCCTTTACTAGAATGTGAGCTCCTTAAGGGCAGGAAAAGGAACTTTATCCATTTTTTGCATTTCCACAACATAGTTTTCTGCATATGAACACTTAATAAATGTTTGTTGAATAAATTGCCTTTAAAATGACTTTATTCTATGAGAGGTCATACTTTCACTCCAAATATTATTTACAGCAAGAGTCAGTAGACTCCCAAAGATTTGTGGACTTTAGGAGGTCAATAAAGGTCCTGAAACTGTATTCATAATGTGGCATGATTTTGGTAGCTTATGAAAGGGGTCTGTTACGGAAAAAATAGGAAGACCTCTTCTTTCAGAGGAAAAGGTAACATCAGCAAGGAATTTCTTGAATAATCAAATAAAAGCTGCCCAAGATTATGGGCAGATAAATTTATTCCTATATAAGATTCTAAGGGAATGGAGAGAATGTTATAAATTATTTTATACAAGGATTTTTCTTATCTTAGTGTTTGAATAAACATGTACTATCTAATATCATATTGGTATTTTAAAGTAAAGTGTTATGGCAGTTCCTATCAAATTAGTGGATAATACTAAGGAACATGAAGACTAGGTATAATTATAAACTCACAAACAGCAGACTATCATTTGTAATTCCTATTTTCTCTTTTCTTTGGTAGCACCAGTATTCTTATCCTTATATAATAGAAACTCATTTGGTACAGTTCATTAAAAGAGATTAAGAAAACCAGACCTCCAAATAAAAGCACAAACACTTTTATTTTAACAGGAGTGTTTTGTTACAATTTAGTGAAACAACAAATAAATACATTCATTGGCCACAGCTATACTTTTACAACCAGTTTGAAACTGATTATATAGCTGAGAAACACTGTTAAACAATAAAAAAGTCAGCTATGCATAAAAAAGCCACTAGCTGTAAATTACATCTTTCATCAAACTACAACCAGCTATAATGAGTGGTGAGAGTTTCAAAATTAATGGCCACCCAAATGAAATTATAAAAACAAGTACTGCTAATCACTGTAGAATTAATTACACACTTAAGCAATGAAATGCACTGTTGTAATTAATAAACTAAAAAAGAAGGTTTGAAATTGTCATCATGTGCTTCAGTGCAGAATGAACAGGGAATTGGTAGCCCTTTGATTTTATAAACAATTCCTTTCAAGACCAAACTTAAAGTGCTCCTAGTGCTTTGGAATTTTCAAGCAAAAACTGGGCCAGAAGCTTATTTTTCTTTGTCTTTGGTGATGCATTGTGGGAGATGTGTATAACAGAGACAAATGTAAGAATTCAGGTATCCTAGTCTGTGATAAGAATGAGTATAAATCTCAAATTTGGAAGAATCAACTAATGCAGCTGAAAGAATCAAGTTACTTTATCTGAAATATTTTTTAAAAGTAATCTTTGCCTATCTGGTCAAATAGGAGCATTATCTAGGGAAACCTTCCTAGAAAAAAATTTACTTTATTTGAACCCAAGGATTAACAAGAAAACACAGATCTTTTCAGATAGTGCTAGATAATTAGCTACCTAACATTATTAGGAAAATAAATAGTTGGCATTCTAAAAAGAAATCTAATAACTGCAGTTGTAATCATATTCGGGTGTATTAATTACACTGTCATGTAAATACCAAAGTTAACTCCGTACTATTAATTTTTAAATAATTTGGTTACAATAAGAGACCTTATAAATAAACCTAAGAAACATAACTATAAATTTATTCTTCTAATTAAATTGAAAATAATGTTCTATGATAAAAAGAAGAAATTTCTTTGGCTGTGTACCAGCCTCCCAAAAGATAGAAAGCATTAAAATTTTCATTTATTCCTTGGGGTGTCACCTACCGTTATACTTTTGTGAAGTTACTGCATCAATTATTAAAAAGTTGAAAGGTATTTTAAGAGGAGAAATAAAACATAATTTTCTAATCAAAGTAGGAGACAGAAAAGGACAGTTGTCTTAGTTTTAGTTCTGAAGAAACAGATCAGCAGACAATTGTATAAAGTTAAGTGACTTTAAGTATGTTGTGACAACTTCCCAATGTTGCCTGTTCTGTTGGCATCTTGAGGTATTCAGCATCTCCTTCTTTCAATATAGACACTGGTAGAAAGTGCATTTTAAAATTCTGTATTACCTTAGCTTACCATATATATTTTTTAGATTTGGGATAGGACATTCAAGACAATTTTATATAATTCAAAAAGTATTCCAATATCGTTCACCGCTGGTTTTATACTTACCTAGTAAGTACCTTCATATCAGTTTGCTTATTTATCTAGTGCTGGAATTAACTTAAATTTAATTTAATTTGGCTTTGCCCATACACAAGATTAAAAATGTGAAAACTAAAGGTCTTATGTCCTATTAAGTATTGCACTTGAGTTCACTGCAATTATGTATCATGATTTAATTTACCTGAGGACAATCCTGATCTTTAGGTAAAATCAGCTGTATCTTGTTTCAGCTAAATCAAATGCTTTTGAAAATGTATTCATGTTTTAACTTAGAATTGTATATTTTGTGAATAATTCTTAAATGCATCTGTAAACTTATTTAGTTCCAATAAGTTTCTACCAAAATCTCCCTATGGAAACACCACTATTGCTTTCTTGAAGAATCATGCTTGAACTACTATACATACCTTACTCAAAATAACCACTTGACCAATTCTACTCAAAGTAGCCACATAATTTTCACTGGTATACTTTCTTCTTGAAGAAATATTTGTGGCTTTCCAAAGAACACTGTTCCTCATCACTGTAAAGACTTACTATTATCATTTAAAAAATGATGGTTTGAATCATTTCAGTTGGTATTTTATGATGATCCTTAAAAGAAATATCTTCAATGATTACATATTTTTAGTATATTTTCTAAAAGAATAATACATTTTTATGCCTTAATTTTGTGCACTTTTCACACTAAAATTTTTATTGGGTAAGAATGCCATATAAAGTACACCACTGAATATACAGGCTTTGATTTTAATAGGAAAATCGCCTCTTAATTTGTTGAACAATATAATATCCCAGGGTGAACACTGGAGTTATGACTTTGGGGGCTGCAGTGTACTCCTTAGAACAAAGATAAAAGTGCAAATATGCAAATATGCATTTGATGTTCCAAAGTCAAGATGTATGGAGGCCATCAAGTGCCTTAAGATCTAATCTTTCTTTTCTCCCACTCCAAATGTCCCATTTAACTTCATTTAATTATGAAGAGGTCAAAGTAATAGCTGTGTCCTCTGCTGAACACAGTGACATTTCCAGGTGTTGTTTTCAGTTGCAAAAGATAATGGAATGTCTATGTAGATGATATTTAAGCGCGTTGAATATACACATTCATGAAAAACAATTGAAGAATCACAACTTGGTAATGCTGTCAGTTTTGTGGTGTTACGTATAAGCCACGGTGATTGTTCAAATCTAAACTACTACAAGTAAAGAGCAAAGGAGCAGTATCTGTCATAGGTCCATTCAGGTGGGGAGAGACTGTATAACTGTTGCTGCCACACCCTGTCATGGTGCCATACCAGCCCAACCCTTGTGAATTTGATAAACTGCAACAACAAAGAAAAAGCCATAGGACTGTGATCAGTATATAATAGGTCAGATTGGCATTTTTAGTTTTCAATGAATTTTATAATACCGTTAGTATCAAATATTGAAATAACATGACTTTCTATAAAATGTAACGACTTTAATACCTTTGATTCTAGATCATATATTACAAAAGAATAAATAAATATCACTCGGAACTAGAACTTGATTTCCAGGTAATAATAATGGTGCATATTATATACTAGGCACTAAGACAGTTGGTGTACACATAAAGAATTATGTATACATACACTCATATAATCTTCACAACAGGCCTGTAAGTTCTGTTATTGCACAGATGAAAATAAGGCTAAAAAATTGGGTTTAAGTAACTTGTCCAGATGAAGTGAGAATTATACAAAATGCTCCTATCAAGCTGAAAGCATCTTGTAGGTGTGTATTAAGGCTTTCATTTTGCCCTGATACATAGCTAATGGTATGAACTCGCAATGATTTCAGAATAAGGAGGTCACAAAAAGATTTCCTATGGCATCTAAGGTTCTCAAGAGTTTTATCTATGGTTTCTCTGTGGATTTTGCATAGCATTATAGATAAGGAAACATATACAGTCACTAGGGCAGTGTTTCTTCCTGCTGACCAACACCTGCCAGCTTTGAACCAATAAGGGATCCTGATATGAACTGATACCATTTACCCCAAAGGCTTAGAGAGTCCAATGGTTGTTCTTTATAGTACAGATCCCATTATGGGTTTAACATCTACTGCTCTAAGCTCTAATATTAAATGGTTTTATTTATTGATATATGTCACCAAATTACCATTTTCACATTTGGGTTAAAACTTAGATTTGTTCTTTTTTAACTATTTCAGTACTAATTCAGTTCATCTACCTTCCTTCTCTTGAATTTCCCAGTCTTGGCAGGTCATCATCACTATCATATCGTCTTGGATTGTCAAAAAAGTAAGCTCTGGAACTATAACTGTGACTATTTATCATGCCAGCAGGTGCCTGTGAAAAAAAGTATTAGTATATGAAAATTTACTTTTTTAAAACAATTTTTTTTAATTTATTGATTCTAGAGGGAGGGGTGGGGGAGAAAGAGACAGTGCTTTGTTGTTCCACTTATTTATGCACTCATTGGTTGATTCTTGTATGTGCCTTAACGGGGGATCAAACCCACAAACTTAGTGCATTGGGATAACACTAAAATCAACTGAGCTCACTGGACAGGGCCAGAAGATTTACTTTGCAACTAAGAGAGGAGGCTAGGATCTATTATATAATGCTTTTTAGTCTTAAACGTTGCCAAAAATAGAAAGTCAATATAAATGTCCCATTATTTTTAAAAAATAAGAAGCATTAGGGAATATTATATCTTACCAAATTCTGGTTTAATCTCTGTGCCCGGAAAAACAGTACCACTGACCATGCTGGCACATGTTCCCACAGAAAGAGGACCATTCCAAATACTATATACTCTTCTCCACTTACGTCTTGTGTATGAGCCTGTAAATAGAGTGTGGCAGAGCAATTTTGAAATCAGTTTTATGTATAATCAGTCACCTGCCACAATTAACTTGCTTCAGGTAGGGTAAGTTAAAATATATCAACTACAAACACATAAAACTCTGAGTTTTCATATTTTGTGGTTTCTTATATAATGATATTTATCTAAAGGATATAAATATGCACTGGTGTTAAGTGAAAGAAAAGCTATTAGCTTTCAATGGATCAATATATGAAAATATTTGATCCATTGAAAGTTAATGAACAAAATAAACCACAGGCATGGAAACATGGAGCAGACTGAAAGTGACCAGAGGGGATGGAGAAGGAGGACAATGGTGGAAAGAAGGAGAAGGGACTAGACAAAGAATGTGTATGTATGACCCATGGACATGGACAACAGTGTGGGAACTGACTGTGGGAACGGGGTGGGGGGCAGGATAGGTGGAAGAGGGCAAAGGGGGAAAAATTGAGACAACTGTAATAGAATAAACATGATTTAAAAAAATAGAAGTGCAAATAGGTAGTTAAAGGATAGCCATGGGGATGTAAAGTACAGTGGAGGAAATGGAGTAGCAAAAGAACTTATACATATGACCCATGGATATGAACAATGGTGTGGGGATTGTCTGAGGGAGTTGGGGGTGCTGAGTGGAGGGGCAAAGGGGAAAAAATTGGGACAACTGTAATAGCATAATCAAATATCTTTAAAAAGAAAAATATATATGAAAATATTTTTAATATATGGATAATATGGAGTGATCTCATTTTTAGTCCCCATAGACAGAAGAGGCTTATTGGTTCCAGCTTCTCCACAGGCAAGTAGCACATAGAATCACACCTTAGAGAATGAAACATGTAAGTTGTGCAGCTCTTCTGCTACTTGAAAATATGCTTTTGGACCTAAACTCCACATTGAATTTGTTTCTACTCTACTAGATGTAGGGAGAGAGGTGTGGGAAAGAGAGTGAAGAGAATCTATCACATGTGAGAATTCCTTCTCTGCAGAAGGGTAACTGAAATTCTGACACAAGGGGATTTCAGGATTCCTTAAATTCAATACAAAGTTAAATTAATATAAAGAAAGATGTGACATGTAGTCTGTCAAAATGCACTTTTAGGAAGGGTATGGAGAATGATGGAAGGTTAAATGTGCATAGATAGAGTACTGGCAATTACTATAGCAAATACCTGGCAACCAAGGAACTATGAATGCTCTCCCATTATCATGACTGATTATGCCATATTTTTAAAAAAGTTATTACTTAAACATCTAAAAATGAACAAAATATTTAGGTTATATGTACTTCTTGGGTAAGAGAATTAATTTTATCCTAACAAAGATAAATCCATATTCAATAGCTAATGACAATTTATCTATAGATATTTAAATACTGTCCTTTTAAAAATTAGTTAAAATACATTTATGACCAAGAGATTTCCGGCACTATTAGTGTTATTTACAAAAAGAAAGACAAATGCTCCTTTGGGAGAAGTTCTTTCTGAAGAATAATTTCAAGTGCCACATATAAATGAGCATTTTTAAACATAGAATTTTAAGTATAGTTATTGATAGTAGTTAGAGATTCCATAAAAGCATTTGTAAGTCACTTAAAATATCTTTATGCTTAAGGCTAATTGCATTATCCTATTGTTAGACTGGCAATACATGGTGGGTACTTACCTTATCTGAAAGATTATCCCAGCCATAATTAAATGGACTTTCTAATGTATCCTGAGATATGGTGATCACCACCAAATTATAACATGCTCTTGAAGAATAGAGAAGAATGACTACAGAGCCTACAACAACAGTCTGGCACAGAGACATACCCTAAAAGAAATAAAAATCATCATCACCATACTCTGCACACTTGTCATGACAAGCTATTCACCTACCTACAATAGCATAGCCACCTGCTGCAACACACTCCTAGAAAACACTGAATGAGTACCTATTGAAATAAACTCTTTATTATCTTGCTGTATGATTCCTACTATTAGAACCGTTTGTGTTTAAACTACTCTGTTAATACAAATAAGTTTTTTTGCCAGTTTGCCCAATGGTATGTGGAGGAAGATTTTTCTCTGCCACAGTTACCTCACTCTCTTAAGTAATATATGAATAAACAAGTTGACAAAAGATCTGAGCTATGATTGATATTACTCAGAGAGGTATTTTAGTCATAATGAGAAAATAATGGGAATTGAAAAAGCATTAGTCCATTTGACACACTTAATCTCCAATAAGTAAATTAGAACAGAAATAGAGCTCCTATGCTATTTGCTTCATTCTGTTACATCTATTAGTTCATGTTAATCCCCTATTGATACCATTATACTGAAGACAAAATGGCATAGGAACCAAGTGTACTTTCAAATCCATAATACTAAGACTTTTCACCAATTCCCCATAGAGAGCCCTTATAACTTAGTGGTTCTCAAATGGAGGATTTATATTGGAGAGTGTGGTATCGACTTCTGCAGGGATCTTAACCTGAGGTATTTCAATACAATTGGTTTATTTTAGAAACCTATTTATCTTATGCATTAAAAACATTATTCTGAGAAGTAACACAATTGTTAAAGAGATACATTGCAAAAATATCCAGTTTGGTGTTTTGGAAGTTTGTATTTTGGTTGTCACAATGATTAAGGGGCAATGACGGCATTTAGCGCCCAAGGGCCAGGGATGCTAGATGACTTTCATACTTTCCAATGTCCTCCTGGACATTCACAAAGATGAAAAACCTGTTTATAATGATCTGAATCAAAAGCTAATTCTGTTATATTGTACATATGAACAAAGTTTATGTTTGCATAGTTTAAATAGATGCCAACATTTTCAGAAACACATATAACTTGTAAATTGAGGGAAATTTGTCTTTTGTTCAGAACTTTGTCAAGAATGATAAAAAAATTTCAGAAAGTCATGAAACTGCAGCAATACTGCTTGTGGCATGTAAGGCACTGATGCAATACACATGTAACAGTCCACATTTGTAATGGTTCCATTCACAGTTTCTATGTATAGATACAATCATCTGAGTACTACATTTGCTTCCAAATTTACGTATTAATGTATTTTTAATTATTTTTATTTACCTTTTTTATTATAATTAGGGTAATGACATAGAATTTTTGAAGTTATGTGTAAGTAGGTTAAACTTTCTATTAATTTCAGGATAGAAACAAGTTATTAAAAATGTTTGTGATTAGAAGGTTGCAATGGTTTGGTAGGATTAAAAACCATTATTATAAATAACTTCCTTATAAGACTATTACATTTAAGAGGTGTAAGAAGAAACAGAATTAAAAGATGAAAGATACCTTAAACAATGTTGAAATAGTAACAGAGTACCTTCTTTGAGCTAACCAACTACCATTAATAAAAAGTATGTGTGAAAAGAACTAAAACCCTAGCAATATTAAAATTTTTATAAATGCATGCTAAAATTTTTACAATGTGCATTTTTATTTCTGTGGATCCAAAAAAGTGTTAATGAGACAGCTAATCTAAAACCAACCCATATCTAATTTTAAAAGTACTACATTATTGAAGAAAAATTAGGTAACAAGAGAAGTTAGAATATTCTAAGCATTACCATCCTTTGAAATAACCACAGCTTATGTAGTCACTGCTTTAAAAAATAAAATGACTGCTAAATAGACATCTTATAATAGGAGAGACTCTGCTTATACTTGTAAGTACTGTAAAAACTTTTTTAAAAGTTTTGAGAAAAGAGCAAAGATTCAGTAATACCAAAGCAACTAATAAAACAAAATTGCAGCCAAATTACAAATATATATAAAAGAATAAAAGAAGCTCACTGATTTAGAAAACAAAGTAAAATTCTTCCTGCAAAATAGAGAATTACAAAACAGAAAATAAGGACCCAGCAACATGGAAAGTGTTGTCAGAAGTTAAAGAAAATCTTCCTAAATGAACAGTCATAACAAACAATTCTACTCAGGAGCAATCCTCAAGGAGTAACTCTGCCTTCTTCCACTTCTGACATTAATATGCCATTAAAAAAAAAATCCATACTTGACAAGAAGAGTTACACTCACTACAGTATACATATCATTAACATTTGTTTGCCTGTTATTAACTAGAAATCAATATTTTACAGGTGTTTTTAGACTGCAGATAGACAGAAACCTCAACTGACCATTTGAGTTTGACAAATGTGTACACCTGTGTAATCCAAATCTCTATCAAAATAGAGAACATTACCATTATTCCAGACATTTTCCTCACACCCCTTCCCCAGACCCCCATACACAAATATTCTCCTGCTTTTATTTTTCCCATAACATAGTGCTGCCTGCTTTAGAAGTTCATATAAATGAAACCACAGATTATAAAATGTTTGATAGGTTTCATTCACTTAGCACAATGTTTTGAAATTAATCCATGTTGTTGGATGTATCAATAGTTAGGTCTTTGTATTGCTGAGGTGAATAATTAGCGTGACTTACTTCTGGTTCCTTCAGGAGTTTCATAGTTTTAGCACTGACTGTCCTACATCCCAGAAACCTTCTTACTCCTGGGCAGACAAGGACAGTTAATTACACTAATTCCATTGTATAATTATGTTTGTTTATATTACAGTTTATCCATTTTTATGTTAATATATAATTTCTATGAACATTCTTATATAAATCTTTTTGTGGGCATGTTTTCACTATTTTCTTTTTTAAATAACTAAGTGGAACTGCTGGGTCATATGGTAGGTACTGATACAAGCTCGACTGTATAAGACACTGCCAGATTTTTCCAAAAATGGATATACAGTTTAACACTTCCAACAAAGTATTAGATTTCCAGTTGCTCCACATCTTAGACAACATTTGGGGTTGTCACTCTTTTTAACTTTAACCATGCAGGTGGATGTGTAGTAGTAAATCATTTTGATTTTAATTTGCATTTCCTCAACGACTAATGATACTGTGTTTGTTAGTCATTTGTATACCTTCTTTGTGAAGAATCTATTCATATCTTTCAGCACTTCTAAATTGGGCTGTCTTTTTTATTATCGAGTTGTATTTTTATGTATTGAGATCTCTATATAAGCTGGAAATGAGTCCCTTGTCAGATATATATCTTGCAAATATTTTCTTGATGTCTGTGGCTTGCCTTCAATTTTCTTAACCTTGACTTTTGATGAGAAATTTTAAATTTTAATTAATTTTAATTTACTCTTTTGTGATTATTTGCTATGACCTAAGAAATCTTTCTCTAAACCCAAGATGTAAAGATATTTTCATCATTGCAGAAAGTTCTATTGGAAAGCACTATTTTTAAAGTATTTTAGGTCCTTTGCATTTCCATATAAATTTTAGAATCAGCTTGTCAAATTTGATTTGAAAAACCTCTTTGTAGAATTATGGTTGGGACTACATTGTATCTATAGATCATTTCAGGAACTGCCATTTTAATAATACTGCAACTTCTAATCCATGAATAATGGTCTTCATTGTTTTGGGTCTTTAATTTCTCTTAAGCAATATTTTATAGTTTTCAGCATAGAGGTACTGCCTGTTTTCTAGAAAATTTATTCCAAAGTATTTTTGTTTTTGAGACTATTGTAAATGGAGTTATTTATTCATTCTCATTTTTAATTGTGTCTGTTACATACAAAAATACAATGTAATTTTATATTTTGACCATGTATCTTGAGAACTTGCTTAGATCATTTATTAGTTCTTGTAGTTTAGTAGAATCCTTAAGATGTTCTACATAAACAATCATGTTATCTGCAATCAGAGACAGTTTTATTTAATTTTATACCTTTCGTTTCTTTTTTCTTCACTGGAATATTGAATAGAAATGGCAAGAGTTGACACCTTTGCTTTGTTTCCAATCTTACAAACAACACATTCAGTACTTTAACTATGATACTAATTGTAGGTTTTTTATAGATGTCTTTTATTAGATTGAGGAACATTCCTTCTATTCCCTAGCAGTTAAGAGTTTCATTGTAGTTTTTTAATCATGAAGCGTGCTGAATTTTGTCAAATGTGTATTCCACATCTATTCAAAATGATTGTTTTTCTCCTTTGTTCTCCTAATGAAGTGAATTACATTGACTGACATCATTTACGTTTTAAAATGTTAAACTAATGTTGCATCCCTGGGAGAAATCTAAGTCATGATGAATTATCCTTTTTAATATGTTGCTTAGATTCTGTGTCTCCAAGTATAAGGGATACCAGTTTGTACTTTTCACTTGTAATGTCTCTGTCCAATTTTTGTATTAGAGTAATGCTATTCTCATAAATAAAACATGTTAGGAACTGTCCTCCCTCCTCTATTTTCAAAGAGTTTGTACACAGTGGTATTTTTTTCTTCTTTAAATATTTGATAGAATTAATCAATGGAACCAACTGAGCCTGGAGTTTTTTTGAGGAAAATTTCTGATAACAAATTCAGTTTTTAAAATAAAAAAAGGGCTATTCAGATTTGTGTTTTATCGTTTATCAACTTTGTTTTAACGAAATTTGTCTATTTCATCTAAATTGTCAAATTTACCCACAGAGTTGTTTATATTTCCTTTTTTCTTCTAATATCTCTAAGATCTATAGTGATAATCCCTCTTTCATTCATGGTATTTTGGTAATTTGTATTTTCACTCTGCTTTGTTCTGGACATCAAATTTATTGATATATTCAAAGAATTAACTTTTGGCTTTCTCTATTGTTTATTTTCTGTTTCACTGATTTTTATTTTTTTTTATTATCTCAGTCCTCCTACTTATTTTGGGCTTCTTTTTAAAACTTTTTCCTATTTTTCCTGATTTTATCTCTTTTTTTCTTTTATAATAGAGTAAA